AAAATTCAATATTCAACACTGATTCGACTATCTGGTATTGAAAATGCCCCTTTCTCATACGTAGTCAGCGCTATTTAGTAACATCTCCGGAATTTCATTTTCCCTCATCAGCAATACTTATGTAAAATCTCATGGATCATTCGAGCGCGCTATCTGGATTCTCGCCTTCCTGTCCTCATTTCAGCATTATACACGTATGGAAATGAATCCAGTTGACCACCACCATCAATATGCTCTTTGAAAGTGTCGTGGCCTGAACATATTCAAACCCGCGGGGCTTCAGATTTTTTTCAGGCAGAAGCCGCCACAGCAATTGTAGACACGCTTGTCATCAAAGTATCAACCTTCCTCTGCCTCGTGTCTGTGATATGGATCAAGATTATGCCGGTATGTCTTAGTGGGCAGTGCTTATTCTTCCGCAGGCGGCAGGTCGCCTTCACGTTAATCATGTAAATGAAGACGCCCTAATGACCAGCTGATTGGCATCTGTCTTCATCATAATCCCTGAAATGACATTTAACTCCAGTTATAGTCAGTGAGTTTCGCTTCCACATTTCATCAGCGTGTCTTCCGAATCATATTAATATGTCTCGGAACACAACACCTCATACAAACGCTGAGCCTGAATTTTCATCTTTACAGGCAGACCGCACTGTCACCATCTCGCTTCCGTGCCTCCGTTATTCTCTTATCGGTCACCGAGCTGTCATCAGGTTATGTGTGGTCTAAGGTCCCATAAACCTTCGTCAGCTGAGGACAATCTACAGCGTCAAATGCGATGTATTTAGCAGTAACTCATCTTAACAATTATTATTGTGCCAAGTACCCTCGCAACAATCATGTCCGTGATAGGAACACACCAGGCAGATCCGTGTGCATGGTCGTGTCAAAATATAGCTAGGATGTATTCCAGGGTGCACCCCCAGAACCACAATCATCTGCTGATCATGTAAGTTATTATTCAGAATTTCAGATTTTTGCATTGCCTTGAGAGTCACCCCATAACCCCGGTTTACTATTCTGGAAGAAACTCGAGAGACTCCTTGACGTCCTGAGGGGTTGGATCCCGTCCCCTGTGCGGCACTGATCAATTGTCCAGAACAGCGTATATCACACAAGGGAAAAGTTAGCGATACTGTGCGACGTGTCTTCAGAAGGAATATAATGAATGGTTTGAGAGACAATGCTGGTCGCATTTCACTCAATCGCAAGCCAACTGGTGATCACCACGTCACATCGGAAGAGATGCATCTCGGCCTGCACATAGTACCGTATACCGATGCTAATTTGGCAGCCCACAGTTTCACATCAGCAAGGTATGGGATGTTGTTGGCCCGAATATCCAGAATCGGTTTCAAATTTCCAAACTCCTTCCATGAGCATCATGTGATGATTGAGTTTAGCAGCGTGTTGTAGATGGATGGGGAAAGTGTCCCATGCGGCCTAGTACATACCGTTCCTTCAAGTTCGAAGTATAATTTTTCAAATCGAAGGAAACGGTGTCTGTTGCCGCGGAACGGATGATTAATCGATTAAACACTGTGAGTGATGCAGCTGTCATTCTCAAACCTGTGTAGGACTGAGAAAATTAAAATTCCGACGTCAGAATGGTTGATCTTCTCTTGATACGGCAAGTCTTGCCACATCTAGCGCTGGCCGCTAAGAATGTTTAACCCAGATGCGACAATCAAGTCGGACATTGTGAGGCGTGCACCAGTGCCCCCATGACAGTAAAACAACTTCTTCGCCACCGGCAAAGACATGCAGACCTCCCCGAACACGGCAACACCTTTGCCTTATGCACATGCGCAGTTTTATTTGCAGATCTGCAGAACCATCGTGCAGGAATTCCCCTACCCGGCTGAACTTTCTCAGCCCCCAGGATTTGAGTGAATTTTCCTACTCCAATTGACTTGGGAGCGTCCGTATGTGCTAGTCAAGTTCAATTAATTAGTATATTCCCTTCATGATATCGACCGTGATTGGCCATGCGGCAAGATTATCATTGCTTGAGTTTATCACGTCCATCCCAGCTGGTAAAAATTGATCCAAGGTTTAGGACAACGAATGCCAGATTCAGACAAGCGCTCCCCACCCTGAGTCCTCGTTGTGATACTCGGACGGTCGCGGGAGTACTGTTTCTTATAATAAAAATTCAAAAGGAGAGCTTCTCCTTCTTGTCTTTTGCGTTCATGTCAACATCGCATATGTCCGACATCAAGAGTGCCAGGAAAGCTCCAATGGCAATTTCCCGTCCCTGGAATAATCTCAGATAACAGAGGATTTTCGGACGATTAACAGCGATAGACTCACGTAATGCAAGCATCCGACCCACCCTGTTGCCTGCAGTAGCTGGCTCCGATTCTTTTGTTAACCTTTCAAAAGGTAGACTCTCAATCGTGACAATGACGGTGCTCTGAGACGATCAGCAGGTTACTGAAGACCAGCTGATCGGCATCGGTCTGGCTCACGATCCCTGAAACAAAATTTGGCCCTGGGTATAGTCGGTGAGTTTCGCTTCCGCGTTGCATCAACGTATCCTGCGAATCGCATTAATACGTCTCGCCGGAACGCCTTATACAAACGCTGAGCATTGTTTCATCTTTGATGGCAAACCGCACTGTCACCATCTCGCTTCCGTGCCTCCGTTATTCTCTTATCAGTCACCGAGCTGTCATCAAGTCATGCAATATTCCAGAAGCCTTCATCAGCTGCGGACAGTTTGCAGCGTCAAACACGATGTGATTAGCAGCAACATGACTCATCTTAATGATATTAATGTGTCAAGTGCCCCCGCTACAATCGTATCCGTGATGGGAACACACCAGGCAGATCCACGTACATGATCGTGTCAAAATATAGCTAGGCTGCATTCCAGGGTACAGCCCCCTGAACTACAATAATCATCTAATGGTCAGATGAGCTACGATTCAGAATTTCGGATGATTGTATTTGCCTTGAGAGTTCTCCCATAACCCCGTTTTACTATTCCGAAAGAACACCATCCACACACCATTTCAACTTCCAAGCGACCTCGAGACTCCTTCCACGAGTATCATTTAATCATTGGGGTTAGCAGCGTGTTGTAAATGGTAAGAAAGCGTCTCTTGCAACCTACGTACCGTTCCCATCGTGTTCGGAAAATATTGGAAGGAAACGAGGCAAAATAAGGAGCACGAGATGCATTGCCTGGCGAGGAAAGTAATAAAGATACTTTGCATGGAGTTTTGGTGCATGTTGAGAGATTGCAGATCCTAAACCCATATGTCGTCCTCTGAATTGACCTTGCAGAAATCTGGCTATCAGTAAGATGAGCGTGACATGAGGACAGACTGGATGATGTGCTCAAAGGTCCAGATTGGTTCGGCGTCGCAGTGGAAAATGATTGGTACAAATTAGAAAAAGGCTCGATGCTCGAATCAACGTCCCATATCATTTGTGGTAAAATGCACGTCACCCTAGCTGTTCAACTGGGTCAAATAAACTAGGAAATGATGGATGAACATATACTTAGGTAGATGATCAGTGAGCAGAATTGAGGAACGCACACATGATCCTAGGTTCGTCCACGATACCCACTGGCATCCCTCGAAGCTGGGAGAGAAAACGGCTGTGATGAGCGGAAGCAATGCATAGTTGTAAAGACGGAAGTCCCTACATTTTGACTGGCTGCCCTCCCGCCTCTCTCCTGTATCAAAGGAAGGTTAATTGGGAAAGGTGGAATCAGTGCAAATACCGTGCTCAACAAGTGAAAGTATTTATTGGAAGGACATCAATATTATTATAAAGTTCATTCAGGATCGTTAGTGACATGGGACGGTAACCGCGGTTGGAGTTTGACAATGATTGGCGCTTGCCCGCCTTTATTTGTGCATGTTTGACATGTCGGTCACTCATCCTCTCCGCCCCATCGAAATTATCTCTCGGACTCCGACCCTCCGCTGAGCGCTGCCTTGATCTTTACATCCGATGTTCCACCATCCTTTAGTGATCAATCGAACGACGAAAGCCAAGCGATCACTCGCTGTGCCATATCTGAGACAACCTGAACGAGTACGTTGGGCACAATATTCTCCTGGGACAAGGATGTTTATCGTGAGTATCCCGCTACCGCAAGTATTATTCGTGATGAGCTTGTGGGTTGGTTGGAAGGTTTTATGATAAGAGGAGGTGAGTTGGTGTATTCAAGTTATCTGGCACTTGATTCCAAACTCACAGGATACTTATGCGTCCATGTGTGCTCAAGATCTGCAGAATATGCATAACTTTTACCTCAACTCACAGAAATTTCAAACATGCAACCTCCACGACATTTATTTATACCATCAACGCCAGAGGGTGCTTATGATAGTATCTCAGCTCGCACCAAGAAATCACTACCTTTGCATCATGTCTCAGAAGGTCTGCACACGTTCACCATCGCAAGTCATGTTCACATTTGTACTCGAGCATCATGGGAACTGCTCACTGTTTCGTCCGCCGATTCAGGCATCAATGTCCCTGTTCTAACATCTGGTGTCTATAAGTCTTCGCTTGAATTATGGGACGCTACGCCCTACCAACAATCCCCAACTTTACTAACGAGTCCTGACGACCCTTTGGTTCAGTATAACCTCGGAGATTGCTTACGCACATATCAAACAAGATAAATCCCTGCATTCGGACCATTTCTCACGATACAGAACCTTACACGAGCCTGACAAGCTTTTTTATACCTGCAGGGACAATCATCTCCACCTTAATGCACATGCTGCCGGCCCCGTGATCATCTGCACGACATTCGGGAAGACTGATCAACGCCACAGTGATCGTGATGAGTATGGACGATCCCCGGCCAAGCGTGGGCATCATTCCGTATGTCCAGAATGCATTGAATCAAGTCCTGCCGCTGGTCCGTTTCACAAAATCTAACATCAATTTGCGAAACATATACGATGTAACAGTGCAGTTTTGAGCAAGATTTGAGCTCCTGGTCCGACAAAATTTGTCCGATGATGAGTGTGCGTGAAGCGACAAAAAATAGAGATACAAGAGTGACTGAGAGGAAGAAACAAACGCGGCAAGTACACGAATAATCAACGAGCCTCCAAGACCAGGTTCCAGCGTTCTAGCCAACCCCTCAGCACGAGAGCGGCCTCGAACTCGAGCATTAGCCTCCGTTTACGCCATCCCTTGACGCTCAGTGCGTCGACGCACTGTTGTCTTGCTAGAGGATCGTATGTAATCTTGGTTGATAGTGCAGCGAGCGCATCAGCGTATACTGCTGATGTGTTGGTGAGGGTTGATAGTTTGAACTGTGGAGTGTCGTTTATTGTTGCGAGGACATCAGACAGGCGGTGGGGGAGACGGTGGGCTAGGAAAGGGATTACGCAGAAGATATGCTTCGTACTGAGGAAAGGGATATGGTTGGAGAGGGAGGTGAACTCCAAAGTGGTGCGGGAACCTTGAGGGAGCCGTATAGTAGCCAAGTGCGTGAGTGGATGGTTGTTGAGGTCGATGATGGTCCCATAATCGGTGGAGGGTGGAGGTGCTGTTGCGAGTGGGTCGGTCAGTCCGTCGAGACACTCTTATGCTAGTGACTGCAAGATTAGAATAATGAATATTTACCATCAAACCCCTTCGTATCGTCTTCCGGGATGAGTATATATGCGTTGGAAGTGAATTTTCAAGCGTAAGAGCGCATATACTCACCTGAGACGTCTCCGCGTCGTAACTGATGGACAGTCGTTCAGCACACGCGTCAGTAACACACACAGAATATGGACACGCGCCATTAGATCTAGCCATTCCACCCACCACTTCCACTCAACTTTCAGACTGACAGAACAGCCATACGCACGAACTCCCTGATCTATCAGGTCCTCGAGATCGTATAGAGGATCGCGAAGCTCGATGACGCCATCGCAGACGTCTTGCAGGAGCATGCCTAAAGGGACAACGATTCTAGATCCGGTGCGATGATTGGAGGCATATTTGACGAGCTTGATGTAGCGCGCGGGCCAGAGAGAACAGCTTGGGACGATGACAGTTTGGAGAGCCTGGAGGGCCGTGCGGGCACGTTGGGAGTCCTTCGTGAGTAGGCAGGAAGGAGACGTGGTCCAGAAACGGATGACGAAAAGCAGTACTAGGATGATGGCAATGGTGATTGATTCGAGAGTCTTGCAGTTCCAAGGATCGTAGGACTTGATGAAATCGATGGTCCGGCCTTTGATGACGATGAGCAAAAAACGGATTTGCTGAAAGTATTGAGGGTACATGTCGTACAATCTGCCGAACTGTTCAGGAAGAGAAAAGACGTGGAAGACGTGGATTGACATGGTGATTTACAAGCGAACACGCGAGGGATGCGATTAAGAATGAATTCTATTATTAGACTCACGCTGGGCTATACTTGGTTCAAATTCAAACATGCCAATATTCTATTGGGTCGAGCATACTTAACGGGCGCTTCAAAACACATGTTCAGCAGTTGCCTGTTCACCCTGCCTACCATTCATTTGCTACCAAGAAAAGACTAAGGCTCAGCTCTCCTGCCAACTTGCTCAATGAGTGAAGACAATTCTCCTCGGAAGAGGCGTTGGGGATTGCTGATTCACCAGTAGTATGTCACGGTTGCATTAATGCCTTTGTGGTCGTATCTGTCACTCGGATTTAGGCATACAGTTATGTTAGTTGACTGAACATTTATGCACATTCTACATATTTCATGCATTGTATACCGGTTTGCCTTCTTGCACTTCATTCGTTCCGTTCTACTTCATGGGACCGTTCTCACAAAGTAGTTTAGGGGTGCACGAAGTTTTCATTTACTACCCTATCGCTACTATACTCATCAGAATTGCTTCCCCGTTTATTTCCTGCAGGATAAACTGTGCAAGTTAGAACTCGATGTGAACTTAACCACCCACCACTCGACCAGGATCACCTTACCTCATGAAGCTTCATCCTCTCCCTTCGTCAGACTTTATCGCCTCCTTTTCTAGATAGATGGCTCACCGCAATGAAGTTCAAAGCCGTGACCAATAGCATGGACCGTAACGCCATTCAGCTATCCCAACAACTTTCGAGGAAGACAAATCACAGGCTGCTTGGGTGTAAGCAGCTGCTCGTCCGCAATCAGCTTCTCCTGAGCATATCAAGAAATAGTTTGCTTACGATGCGCGTTCACCGGGAGGAAGGGAGATGTAAGTAGGCGATGGTGATCGGAAGAGGTAAGACGAAAGGACTCCACGTGTGAAAGTTGGTGTTGGAGAGGTATGGTTTCAGGCATCGACTACTGCTTATAGGTTCGTTCCTGTAAGGCCATATCTTAGGACGGGGTATAGCGCTGCGAGATGAGACCAATCGCTGCCGTCGGACATATCTTTGACATAAACAGGCTCTTCGTTATGATGCTTAGCAGTACCTGCTTCAGAAGGATTTTAGTGTGTACAAGTTAGCGGGGTAGCAACGGGCTGTGATTAAGTCGACTTGATGAGTTACCGGGGGCACAGCGGGATAGCGGAGTGGACGGCATATTCGATTGATGAGAGGGCATACCGTGACTGTTACAAATCTAAATCGCATATAGACAGCAAAGTTTTAAAAGAAAAGCCGCAATGGGAGCGACTGATTCTAGTCCCACAGTGCGAACTATATTAATCGCTAGGACTCTGCATCATCATCATCCATGCACTTCTGAGCAAACAGTGAAAGACTACTTACATAGTTATGTTGTCCTACTGCACAACAACACTGCGAGAAAATTGGTTATGTAGAGGAGGTGTTAAGCCATTCACTAGGGTACTCATCCCCGAGATTCTCGCGTCCTTGTTCCCATCACCACTGAATAGAGGACGCCGCTTGCAGATGGAAAGAGATAGTGAAGTGAGCTCCTCCTGGCAGTTGATGAGCTGCGAGCCCACGATGCAGGAACAGCCCGCCTTGTGCACAATGCTCAGGGTCTTCTCGGGCCAGAAGGAAGATATTCTTTGTTGGAAGATAAAGCCAGAAGGGTCGGAATAGATCAGTTGAAACACCTACTAATTCCCGAAGTGGTAGCACTGCTAAAAACATGGAAAATACCTGACGGTGCCCGTGATGATGATATCGGATGTTGAATTGTTGATAACGTCCAAATCCACATGTTTCGGGATGGAGAATGATGATGCGATAGCAGTTATTTTGCGCATCATGACCGCGATGACCGCGATGACCGCGACGCCCGCGACGACACTAGTGTACTTGCTGAAAATGAACTCGAGTTGTGTAATACACGGTCCTTCAGCAGTCATTTTGCGCATCATATTATTATAGACTCACATTGGAATACATACTTCAGTGGTGGATTTGCGTATCATTTCAGAAACCAGAATGGACAAGTCTGAAATCTGGGCGCGACCTGGAACTCGACAGCGATAACCAAGTGACTTTATATTAATCATGTAAAGCCCTTCAAGGCAGCGATGCAGAGTCCGGAGTATGTGGCCAGTAACAAGCAAGTGTATTTTGGTCAATTTGCTGCTTAGCGTAAATTTGGCAGATAGTACTAGTACCGCAGCAGTCACAGCAGTGGCACAGCCTTTTCCTTGTGCCGGCATACTACTAAATCAGGATATAATAAGCGTGTTACGGACACTTACGAACGCTTACGACTTCAGTAGCGCACTCATGCAATTGGTTGAGATGCCTTTCACGTGAGCCGACCCTAGCTATATTTGGAAGCTTCTCAAAGTTTCTAAATTTTGGGTTTTCAGATGCGAGCAGGAGGTCTCTTTTAGATGACTTGTGAAACGCGACGCCACTCCCCTATTTTTCGCGTTCCATTCGGCCTAGCGATAACTGAGGACCCTTACTACTCTGCAGTATAAGTAGCCCATGTACAGTCCCTACTAGCAGGCAATAATACCTACTAGGCATCGACGTCTCACTTTCGCATTCGTCATCCAGTAGCACTTTCATTATTTCATCAATCGTCTCGGATTCAGCACGTTTCCAATCATATTGCTCTCGTTCGCAATCCTCTGACTCTACAGCGCATATATATCCCAGCAAGCGGTCTACACACCCCTTCGCACTCACAGTACTTCGCAGGTTCTTACAATTACCTGTTCCACTTCAAGTCAACTCCTACCTAAGTAACAATTTCTCGTCGTCATGAATGCTGAACAGTACGTTCTGCAAGTCTCAGACTTTGACCTTTGTCATATCTGATATACCCAAGATTCCGTAGAGCTGGTTATCAAGCCATCGATAGGATATGTGACTACCATGTCACCTTGAGGGATAGACCTGTCTTATCCCAAGTTGAGCCAGGGTACCTCAGAAAGGCGCTCCCGTGTGCGTATTTTTTGTTTTGCCTCGCACTTGCTTCTTACCGTCACGAGCGCAGCCTCTGCCCCCACTGAAGGCGAGGACTTCCAGCTCATCGCTGACGACTATCAAAAGTACATCATTCCTGGTACTTGACTCTCACTATTCCACAAATTGACCTATCTCATTCGGACTAACAGGCCTGACACACTGGCAACACCCCTCATTCTTTGCGTACTTCCCTACATCAAGCACATTCGAGGGTATACTTGCTGAATTATACACGTCTAGCACGTCTAATCCTGGATTCAATGTACGTCTCTCTACCGCAACACTCCGCTATCTTTGTAACTTTTTGTAGTGGTCTGTGAGTCCCGCATGTACAGAGCTTGAGGCTGTAGTCATGGACTGGATCGCTCAATTACTTGGGCTTGATCAGTCATTCTACAACATTTCCGAGGTCGGCGGCGGCGTCATTCAGGTCTTTTTCTAATCCCTTCATATCGCTAATTTATACTGATCGTCATGCACTAGCCGTCAGCATCTGAATCTGCGTTAGTCGCCACTGTCGCTGCACGTGCACGATACATTCATGAGCACCCTCAGGTAGCGATGGAGAATCTCGTGCTCTACACCACTACCCAAACCCACTCGCTTGGGAAGAAAGCTGGGCTTATCTTAGGTCTCAAAGTCCGCGCACTAGGAGTCACAGCTCAGGATGACTTTGCATTGCGTGGAGACACACTCAAGGTCGCATTGGAGGAGGATATGAACGCTGGGTTCCACCCTTTCATCTTGAGTATGTTCTTCGCATGGATAGCTGTCTCAAAATTCATTTTACTCGTTCTGCAGTCGGTACTGTAGGGACGACATCTTCCGGTGCTGTCGATCGGCTCGACGAGATTGCTGATGTCGGTGCGTATACTGATCATGTTATTGAAGCTCCTTAAATTTACATTTTACGCGTAGCAAAACATTACCCCTTCCTTTGGCTGCATGTCGATGCCGCATGGGCAGGCGTTGCATTCGTGTGTCCCGAATATCGTGAGGCATACCAACTTCCCGCCATCAATAGTTATGTAGATTCTTTCTGCACCAGTTTCTACAAGGTTTGTTTACTCCTATTTTGTGGCATCGGTCTGGGGCTCATCAACCTTCTGCAGTGGGGTCTAATCCAATTCGATGGCTCTTGTTTGTGGGTGCGGCACCGGAAACATTTGACAGACGCACTAGACGTTACACCCGAATTTTTGCGAACAAGGCACGGAAATGCTGGTCTGTTTATAAGTGTTATAAGTGTTGGCTGTTGCATAAACGATGAATTTGTGTAGGCACCGCTATCGATTACCGCAACTGGCAGTTAGGCCTTGGCAAACGGTTCCGATCGCTCAAATTCTGGTTTGTTCTTCGTGCGCGGGGAGTGAAAGGTCTCCAAAAGTACATCAGCGATGTACGTCAGCCCATTTATTATCATTGTCCTCTAACCCATACTGATATTCGGTCTTGTCTCGCCAGGGTATCAAGTTGAACACCAAGTTCGCACAGAGCATATATGAATCCGAGTTATTCTCCGTCGTCACCAAGCCTTCCCTTGCCATGACAGTCTTCAGGCTTGCACCCAAGTCCTCAACTCAACTCAGCACTCCCGAGCTAAATATTTTGAACCGTGCTTTCTATGCACGGCTTGCAGCACGGAATGATATTGCGCTCACCCAGACAGACTTGAATGGGGTGTTTTGTATTAGGATGGTGATCGGGGCTGAACAGACTTTAGAAAGTGATGTCGACCGCGCGTTAGCGTTGATGAAGTCTGAGGCCGATGGTGTTGTTAATGAAATGAGAGGGGATTGGAGGTCGCAGAGGTAGGAAGACGAATGTGGTTCCAGTTTAACTCCCATTATAGATATACTGTTGTACTTGTATCGTAGCGGCGCTGGGAGGCGCCAGTCCCTGACTTCAACTTCGGAGTTCAAGAAATAACGATGGATTGGTTGCCGGCCCGGCGCCGGTGCAGTGGTGAAGCTGCGCCGAGAATACTTTGCTCTTGTTCCTTCAATTCGGTTGTGCAACCTGTGTCTATATGTATGCGAAGAACCTTGCAGAAGACGGACCACCTATTTCTTATGATTCTGACGCCTGGAGAAAAAGACAGCAATGTATGATTGACGAATATGATCATTCAAAAAACGACACCAGCAGGATTTGAACCTGCGCACGGAAACCGTAAGAGATATCACGTGTTCGAATCTCTCGCCTTAACCACTCGGCCATAGTGCCTCCGTAGTTTTGCCGGCTCGGTGCCAACATGAAAAGCTTGCGTTCTTACAATTTAGACATCATCGTTTAAGCACTCCAATTCTTGCACAAGAACGATGGACTGGTGCGTCACTCGACTTCTCGTTCATGCTTAATCTGATGATGCTATTGTAGCTTAGAGTTGAACATTCGCCAGCGGATTCTGTCCGACCTTGCTACCCTCGAAACAGAAACAGAAGAGGATATCCTTACTACTCGTGACCTCATTCAATCCAAGGCCCAGCTGGCAGATGGAAAACAGAGTGCACCCAATGGTGACTCGGGGGAAAGGGAGGCTGATCCTCGTGCATTCATGGTAAGTGCCCGCTCGATGCGTGTACGTTGACTTATTATGACGGCGCAGTCCGAGGCTAGGGCTCACTGCAACATTGCTTTTGGCGAACTTGTCGCAAACTTTCCGGAGGAACATATTGCGAGACACATTGATACCCTCATTCCCGTCCTAATGGATCTTTTACATGACGTGCCACGGGTGGATTTTGACCGGTGTCTCTCATGGGATGGTATGTCATCTCTCGTATGTTGTGGTCCGTGCCCCTGACTGTTCATCAGAGTGGGCCCTCCCTGACCAGCTGGTCTTCTCTACCGTTTCCGCCCTTCTGCGTATTTGTGGTGCGCATCCAGAATATGCAGACAGAACTGTCACGTCCATCATCACTTTCGTCACCGACATCGTTGAAAACCTCCAGGAGTCCAGCTGTAGGGACTTCATTTGATTTTCGCGCAAGCATTCTGACATCTCTGTAGCCATAGATGTGCTTACACATCTCACGCCTTGTGTTCACGGATTGTACCGCGCAATTACTTCCACTCTCTACCCATGGACCGCCTCTCAATGGCGCCTTCTCTCTGAGTCCCTCCAGTTCCTTATTGCCACTCCCGTTCTTGAACGAATCAACCGCCTCCTACTTGACATACATCAAGAAGCACAATCTAATCCAGAAGCCGATGCTACCTCTGTCGCCTTCTGTCACACATTCATCTCTCGATACATAGCATTTGGACGCCCACTGAGTGGGTACTTTATCGTATGCTGTGTCATGGAGATGGAATGGACTGTGCTCGCACAAGCCCTCGCGAGTACTCCTCTGGTACACAAGGGCCAGGTGCGCGAAGCGGCGGCGGCGAATAAAGCGTGGGTGAACCTCATGAAATGTCCTGCGAAGGATTTGGGATTGGAGAATGACGAGGAGACGAGGAAAGCTCTGAGGGATATCATCAGAGATGCATTGCAGTATTTTAGTGATTTGCTGGATCAGATTGAGGTTATGGAAACCGAACCTCCTATCGATACTTATGCATGGGAGACCATGTCCGAGAGCTTGGTACGTTTTTCGCGCATGTCAATTAACCGAGTATTTTCTCTGATCCGTCATTAATGAGTAGAAGCTCGCTTCTGTCTGCTCCGTTGCGCTTCGAGAGCTAGATGAAAATCTTCACACTCGCCTGACGCAGCTATTAAGCGACAGTGCACCCATCCTGGACAATCTTGTTCAGGAATCGGCGCTCAAGGCTACTACGGTGCTTGTGCAAAGGTCAGTCAGGTTATGAAACGCACAGCACTTCCTTGGCTCATCTTTTACAGCTTCCCGGAGATAGCTCCGTCTTTTGCCATCCATCTCCGCCGTTTCGTCACCTCGCCTCTTTCGATATTCGAGTTCGCATTCAACACCGAGAAGCGTGCACCCCCACCTTTGACAGCTGCTGCCAAATGCCTTGCACTTTGTATCAAGGTATGTCTTTTCTCACCCGGTTTTTTCAATACACCTCAGGCCTTCCCAGCTATCACCTGGTGACGACTCCATCATGTCCAACATGTACTCTCTCCTCAATTACATCGCTGCGACCTCCAAAGAAATAACCGAATCATCCTCTTCCAACCAACTCCTTTCCAACCCCTTTTACGCCTCCTCGATCACCTCTCCCAATGATAACGTGACCTTCGAAAGCGACGAAACAGGGTTACACGGTCGCTCGGACGAAGAGAAGCAGCTCATCGGGATCACGACTATCTCCGTTGTCACGCGGCTTGCACTCGAGTTCCATGCTGCGGGCCAGGAAGAAGTTACAAAACTTACCATTTCGATGTTATTGCAGCGCTTGCGAACTTTGGAGCCAACTCTCGAGGCTGCGATTGCGTATAACCTCGTGGATCTTGCGCTTGTAGCTCCTGAAGAGTCGTTCATAGACGTTGCCCGCGCGTTCTCGCTTATCAATCGCGCTACGAACCTGGAGGACCCGAGATTCTCTAATAACATGGTGTGTATGGAATTATAAGTCAATGATGTGTGCTGATGGATAGCAGGTGTTGGCCGCCCAGACGAGGCTTGCACGGGAACTAGACCAAAGACCAGATTTGTATGACGTATATTTGGTTGAGCTGCTCACTCTCTTCGGAGACAAAGGCGTTGCTATCCAGAATGTGGCAACATCTGATCGACACGTCAAGGTAAGTTTGCTCATACATTGCAAATGTTGTGCTGAACGTTCGATTCAGACGGAAGAGATGATCGAGCAGCTGGCCTCTTTGTTGTTGCCGATTGAAGCGCTTCTTACCCATCCGGATTACTCTCCGCACCTGGCCGCTTCGCAAGAGCTCACGTGTCTCTTCCGGAATATGTGGTTCCTCTGCGTCCTTTTCCACTTTACATCTGGCGAGGAGAGGGGCGCGATGACGTGGCTCATACCTGTGCTGGCGAAAATCGCAACGAAGACGCCAACTCTGGTACTTGAGAATGCTCATGATGCGGCGAGTGAAATCGAGTATAGCACTGTCATCCGGCATGAATATGCACAATCTGTTAGTGCTGCGTTGTTTGGAAAGAGAGGATACTTGATGATTTCAATAGGTCATCTCAAAGCATCGGTCGTTCCTTACACGCCATATTCCACATCGCGCAAGCGAGATACGCTCTTTGTCCCCGGGACAGGTAATATTTTTATTGGTGATGCAGGATGTTGAGAGTATGCGATCTGCTGCTGGTCTCCCGTCTTCTTTGGTGTCATACTTCACGAATGGGAGCCTGAATCGACAGAGTTATCTTATTGTATGCATGGAATCTATAGCTGACAAGGTAATGTTCATCTTCGGATATGGTGCGCTGAGCTACATTGTCAACAGGTTATGCGTGGATGCATGGGAGAGATGAATTCCCAAGCTGTGGAACAGGCACTACCAGCCCATCTATCAGAGGAACTTCGCAAGCTGCTCGTAGCCAGCACTCATCGCATATCTCGTGCTCGGGACGTCGCAGCCAAATACCTATTTAGCTTGATCACGTCGTTTCCTTCCCTCATGTGCGACCCGCCACTGGTGCATGCAATTCTTGAGTGCCTTACTCTTCTGCGTCACGCATGCGAGAACGAGTTTACGGACGAGGTGACAGAAACCCGATTATATTAATCGAGTAGCTGATGTTTAATTCAATTGCAGTACAACCCGGTGTGCGAGTTCCATTCTGAGCGCACTGGCATCACGCTGCAGCTCACAGACGACTACAAAGTACGAAATGATATCCTTGGACAGCTGCAGCGCAATGCCAACACATGGTTTGAACTTGCACTCAGCCGGGCTCCCATTGAGCTCCAGTCGACGCTTCAGGTTCGTTTTGTTATCGTCATTTGCACCTCTTTTCCTTCATGTCATGTCCTCTATACAGAAATATCTTGCGGCTACACAACCACTGATTGGTGCGGACGCTGCTGAGTTAGGAGCTTCTGTTGCCGAAACATTTGCCAAAGCATTTGGTCCTGTGCACCGACAACTTTGTAGGTGCTTGGTCTTCAAATCATGTACAAGTATTCTGATCATTCTACATCCTAGCTTCTCTGTGTAGCCTGTCAAACTGGAAGTCTGATCGTGCACGTGCTCTTGCTAGTCAACTTGCGAGTAAATGCTATTTTGCAGGGGAGGTTGCTGGTCTGCGACTTGCGGCTCGTAAAAGTAAGTCGGTCTACCTGATAGACGGTCGGGTGCTTTAACATTTGCAAGATCAAGATTCGCTGGATAAAGTAGCTCCTCAGATGCACTGCACTGGTGTCCAGCCTTTCAAGGACAAGATGGCCGATACAATGAATGACATTCGGAATAAACGTAGTTCTTTAACTGTTCAAGATCTGCAGCGTCTATTATTCCGTTGTGCAGCGATTCTTATATCGTTGGAGCAGGTTAGACCATGCTTTATATGTTTCTGGCATCCGTGTTGATAATTTTCAGTGCGATTACACCTTGGTACATTTCCTGGTAGCTCTACCGTTCGAGGTTTTCACCCCCTCTGCGGTCGCTGCGGGTATTGAAACATGGACGTGGGTCATCGCGGAGCGCCCTAACATGGAAGTGGCTATCATGTGCGAAGTGCTCACGTCTTGGTTTGGGACTGTGAAAGATCGGAAGGGCGTGTTCTCAGCCTCATCAAAGTTTGTCGATTTGTCGGCATTCTAAATTCCCAAGTGATTGACAACCAACAGCTGTGCTGATCCATTCTATCATCCCATCAGTTATAGTCCAACCGACAAGGACGAAATCGATCGAGCAACGACTCAAGCTCGTCGGCTGCTCATGCCCCATACCTTAGTTCTACAGATGTTGTTCAGTCGATTGCAAGCAGCTAGATATTGTCGCTCGACTGTGATGTTCCTCATCCAGAGACTTGTTTTGCGATCTGCGCAAGCGCACAAGTTGTTTAGGTACATTCAACAGGTCTACTATTTGAAGCCATATTGACGATTCGTCCAGTACTCATCCACTGGCTCGAGAGCTACGCTACACTTTCCTTCTTTTTGGACTGGAGACATTGAAGAGCTCACATCTAGATGCTGTCTGCGAGTGTATGTTACGCGAAAGTCTGTATCGCACAGCATATTCGTGGTTTGCTGTTCGGCCTCAGTCAGTGTATTTCTCAGATATCAGTGTTTGTACGAATGCTTATGCTGTCCAGGTGGTCTTTTGGAGCCAATCGAGTGCAGGTTGACGCTGATATCAAAGTCATGTCCGAATTTCTTGTACATCTCCAAGGTGACTCAATCAGGAATACGTCATCTCTTTCGAGCCTTGCTCCTCATCATTCTGCGTCAAAGACGTCCCGTAAGCACAGCCGACGTTCCTTTCTTTGCATTGAACTTATCGGTTGTAGTTTATGCTACGCGCCTCAAGAACATCAACCAGCCACTCCGTCTTCTGATCGAGAATGAGATATTCAGGCTTACGGTCTGGGCTAATCCTAGCAACGAAGCGAAGCGAGGCAGTGACATTCATGGCCTGCTCGAGCGCAATATGCTTGAGGTAAGTACCTTGATGGCTCTGTGAATAGCAATTCATGTATTTTGATAGTCGGCTTGGCCTGGCATAGTCCGAACAGTGTGGGAGGTAGACCCAGCCATAACGGTCCATCTAACCGAACGTTTCAAAAGTCCAGCAGCTCACGCCGAGGTGCAGAATCTGGTGCGGTCGAACGCTAGCCAGGTAGTTGACACTCCAGAGGCTCTACGATTTTTGATCGGAGATTCTTTCCGAAGTGGACCGAGACGAGAGCTGAAGGTGATTTCTTTTCTGCGATATCGTGATTCGCGAGTTTACGTTTTTGTCAGTACATCATCGTATGGGCGCCTGTCACTCCTGTGATCGCTGTTACTTTCTTCGAGCGACGACACGGCAACGATCCGCTCTTGCTACAATATGCCCATCGAGTCCTGAAGCAGCATCCTGTCGACCTGACATTCTTTTTTGTTCCTCAAGTCGTCCAGGCTCTTCGGTTTGATGACCTTGGTGTGTATCTGCAGCCTCCTGCTGTTATAGTTTCTCAATATATGCTTTAGAATATATCGCGCAGTTCATTTTTGAAACCGCAAAGGTGTCTCAACTCTTTTGTCACCAGATCATATGGAACATGAAGGCCAATTGCTTCAAGGATGATGCTGCCGAGATTGTGAGTTCGATGCATGTTTTCCTCTCTGCTCCACTAACATGATATTAGGAAGATCCTATGAAACCTGCGCTAGATCGGATGACTGCTATGGTGGTGGATTCGCTATCTGGTAATGCCCGTGCCTTTTACGATCGGGAATTCGGATTCTTCAATGAAGTAACCTCAATCTCTGGGAAACTGAAGCCCTTCATCAAAAAGTCGAAACCTGAGAAAAAGGTGAGACCCTCGAAGATCGTCCTAGGATATAATTTGACATGTCTCTACAGGCAAAGATTGACGAAGAGATGGCCAAGATAGTTGTTGATGTTGGAGTCTACCTTCCCAGTAACCCAGACGGTAGTGTTATCGACATTGATAAGAAGTCTGGTCGACCGCTTCAAAGTCACGCTAAGGTGTGTGGATCATTTTTCGCCTATATTTGTACTCGATACAATTTCACCCAAGGCACCGTTCATGGCTACTTTTAAAGTGAGGAAGGAGCGCGTCATCATTGATTCTAACCCGGAATCTCTCTTGGACGGTGGACTCGAGAAACGTGAGGAGTATGACGTTTGGCAACAGGCTATCTTCAAAGTTGGCGACGACTGCCGACAAGATGTATTGGCTTTACAGATCATCGCGATGTTCAAAAACATCTTCACCAGTATCGGGTTGACCCTCTATCTCTTCCCTTACAGAGTTACCGCAACTGCCGCTGGAGTGAGTGCCTTTTCTTTTTCATTCACGCTATATCACGCTCATGCATATCATAGTGTGGTGTCATTGACGTGGTACCAAATGCCACATCTCGAGATGAGATGGGAAGGGCCACAGTAAACGACCTGCTTGACTTCTTTATTTCGAAATACGGAGGAGAAGAGACTGTTGCATTCCAGCGTGCTCGCCTCAATTTCATCCAGTCTATGGCTGCATATTCGGTTGCTTGCTATATTCTGCAGATCAAGGACCGTCACAATGGGAATATCATGATTGATGGCGAAGGGCATATAGTACATATCGGTGAGTTTTACCGGTCTAAGAGTACAGCAAGCATCATTAAACTTGATCTCAGACTTTGGATTCCTATTCGATATAGATGAGTTTTTCATTTGACAACCATTGATTGATGATTACTGACATCGTTCTTGTGGTCTATCTACGTCCTGGAGTAAGTCGCCATCACGATACCTTGAACAGTTCTCTGACTAGACTTTGCAGGGAGTCAAGTTTGAACCTAGCTCCTTCAAGTTAACCCACGAGATGGTAGTTCTAATGGGTGGCAGACTTTCTCAAGGCTACGAACTGTTTCAACATTTGACGGTGAAGGCTTTCCTCGCTATCCGACCACATGCGGATCAGCTCGTCAGCACAGTCCAGCTCATGCTGGGAACTGGTCTCCCGTCCTTCAAAGGCGAACCAACTATCAAGCGCCTCAAAGATCGGTTTGCGCTTGGGTTGAATGAGCGTCAAGCTGCCGAATGGATGGTGGGGGTCATCCGCAATGCTCATGAAAATGTGAGGAGCACGGCGTACGATGAGTTCCAACGGGTGCGTAATTCCTTCTTGTGATCATCAAGCATCCTCACATGATTTGCTCAGATACAAAATGGTAAGTCGGATGGATACTCAATACAATGCCTTTGGGGTCTGAGGCGTTTGCAGGCATACCGTACAAGTAGCAATGCTACTCAAGAGTCGATGGATATCATCGAATTTAGATATAGAAATGTGCGAAGGTATATTCTACCTCTTGCTTTAAGCCACATTCAAAAAAAGCTTAGATAGTTTCTACCAACAAAATCATGATGAATACGGCTAAACTTGGGCTATACGGTTAGCGTTCCGGGGACCGGAACGAGTCAGAGCCTCAGATGTCTATATATATTTAGCAGCCGAATAGTGCTCGTTTCCAGCGGCTGAGCTTATCGATCGACCATCTATTCTTCTCTCTTGTGTACCATCATCATCCTCATGGAGTTTTACATACGAAACGTAGACTTTCAAGCAACTGAGTATGAGGTCACAAAAAAGATCGCAGAGGTTTTACATGCGTGCCCCGGTCCATTTGTGTCGGATGCCGATGCGCAGCATCGTCCCATCAACTTTAGAGTCACGCTCGAAAAGAATGAATGCGGAGGCGTTCGTAACAAAGGCTTTGGGTCACTCAGACTGCCCTCTAGGGATGTAGGGCTGAAATTCCGTCGGCTTGTTGACGGCGAAGATGGTGTCACCATCAAGGTCGGCAAAAAGCGTCTGAAATTCGCCCCTACAAACAACCACATCCCAAACAACATGCTAGTCACTCTCACAAAGGCCCCCTATGTGGACCCCGATATCGCTCAAAAACGGCAGGAGAAGATCGATGCGTCAAGTTCAGACTTTCGAATCGCTAAAGTGCAAATCGGTATGTTATAAGTATCCTCGTATACCTTTTTGCCTGTCGCCTTTGGATCATATGAACTTATTTTCCTAGGTATATTCTATCGCCCTGAAGGTGCGAGCCCATCAGATCCACGTACCTTCAGTGTGGAATGGCAGTCCAATCTTCTCCGAGTCAACGAGCTTGGGTGGTTGAACTTCGAATATGAGCACAAACTGATCCGTGCAAAGGTTTGGCATATATTTTATTATGAATAGAAAACCACTCATCCTATAATCGGTTAGATCGGTGATCCAGCGCGAGGACAATTGTTATACAGCCTGATTATTACCTTCGCCAACATCAACAAAATGGCTGTGGGTTCTGATTTTGGTAATCAATGTAAGCATGGTGCCCATAGCTTGAATTTCTGAGTGTAAAATCTCCTTAGACGTATGCTTCGATCTGTTCACACCACCGATCATCGAAAGAGAAGACTGCAACAGAACCCTTACCGGAACATATTCCGATAAGAAGAATTATCGCGAACGCGTGGGTGCTATACATCCAGGGCATGAGCAAATTGCTCCATACGCCCACCACATACGCATCATTCTCTCCGAAGATGGAGATCTGGACAAGTTCACGCAGTTCTGTAGAATCGCGGAGCTTCGTCCTCCAATCTCTGGAGTCCGCATCGAGGCCATCTGCCAGGAATTTTTCGCGAGCAAAAGACTGGCTTGGGTCCAAAGATGGCTGAAGTCATTGAGCTCAGACTGGCCTGTAGCATTTCAGATTGAGGCTCTTCTCCGAAATGGTATTGCAAATACAAAGGAACTCGAGAATTTACGCCCGAATATCGACCATCTGATTCGCTGCCACCGACCATCTGCTGCAGCCATCATGCGATACTTTGTGATAAAAGCTGCGGCTCGTCCTCCAGGCCAAACGATCAACAAGTGCTTCGAGCGGGTGGTACAGGAGAAGCTCGGGAATGTCCGTCCCGAGGCGCCTGCTGGCCGCTTTTATTGTCATCGTGTTACAGTCACTCCGACTCGGCTCATCCTTGAAGGGCCTAACATACTGCAATCAAATCGCGTCATTCGCGAGTACGAAGGCTATGAAGGCAACTTCATTCGGGTCGATTTTCGTGACGAGGATCGTCTCCAGTATCGCTGGGATAGAGAAGTAGATGGGGCGAGCTTCGTCAGGCACCGTGTCGGGGGCTTGCTGGAGGATGGTTTTGAGCTTGCGGGCAAACATTTCGATTTCTTAGCATACTCTTCATCTGCACTCAGGGAGCACGCTGTTTGGTTTGTTAGCTCCTTCCAGCACGATACCAAAGGATTGGTCAACGCGCATACGATAAGAAGTAGCTTAGGAGACTTCAGTGGATGCATTTATTCCCCTTCGAAGTATGCTGCCCGGATGGCTGTAAGTCAGCTGTTTCTGTCAATATTTCCTCTAAACAGCCTTTCAGCAAGCCTTTACGGCAACAGATCCATCGGTCAAGATCCACCAGTCGCAGTGGTCGGAAATGCCTGATATCGTCGAAAATGGTGTTATGTTTTCTGATGGTGTCGGCACCGTCAGTGATGAACTTGCTGATTTAATTTGGCAAACTCTCTGCGAAGCTCGACGAGATGGTGGTGCGCATGCAGTGAAACCTTCGGCGGTCAGTGCTTTCACGCTTGGAAGTGCTGTACTAAACGGGGCTACAGTACCAAATCAGATTCCTTGGCTTTAAAGGCGTTGTGGCTGTTGACAAGCAACTCAAGGGAATCCACCTTCGTTTACGAGAAAGTATGAACAAGTTCAAGGATCATGGGGAAGAATATGCTATGATAGAGATTGCTCGTCCCGTTGTGAAACCCAACACTCCTCATCTTAACAGGTATATACGAGTTCCTTATCATTTCAGTTTTACAGTGTAGATACTCAAGCGATTCGTACAGACCTTTGATCACGGTTCTAGAAGATCGAGGTGCCTCAAAGGATACCTTTATGGAGTTGCAGCAAAAGGTTGTTGCGGAGGCACGTACCGCTCACGACTCAGTCGATCTCTTTGCGGGGCTTTTGGAAAGCCACGGACTGTCTCAATCTTTCCGACTGGCATCGACGTTACGGAGACTTAATACCCTCGGTTTGGAGTTGAAGCCTACACATCCTTCAGCGGAACATCGACTCCCCTTTTTTGGCGCAGTTACGGGCTTGTGCCATCAACCACGTATTGCGAGCAGTCAAGCATGATGCGCGCATCCCAATTCCTAACAGCTACATGCTGATGGGTGTCACCGATGAGGGACCTGCGTACGACAAAAAAGGCTACTCGAATGTGTTCAAGCTGCCTCCCGGCAAGATATATGGTATGCCACTCATTTCCGATAGCTCGCTTTACTTTTTACCTGCCCTCTCAGCGTGTGTTCACAAGCCAGGGGATAGTGAACCCACATGGCTTCATGGACCTTGTATGATCTCGAGGAGTCCCGTCATACATCCAGGCGACGGTACGTTCCTGCCTGTGCTACACTTATCGCAAATTAACTCGAGTCTAGTCCAACAGTCATATGCCATCGGAAAGCCTCCAAGTGATAAACTTTGCCTTTTCGGTCACCTGAAGAATGTAGTTGTATTTGCATCCACTGGTAGGTGCACGAGTGTTTGAAAAATTTCCATCTACCTATATCCTCAACCATAGGCGCAACCTGTTTGCCAAACTCGCTCGGCGGTGGCGATCTTGACGGGTAAGGAGAAATGCCACCTCTGTCCTGATCTGATATTCATAATTTATAGGGATCTCTATGAGATTATACAATATCCACCCTTGATCCTCCCTGATCATTATGATCCAGCGTCTTATCCTTCGGGAAAGCCTTTCACGATCGAACATCCCAGCACAATTGACGATGTGTGTAATTTTGTTGTGGAATATATCAACTCAGATGTTGTGGTACGTCGATTCTGGGTGAGCGTATGTTGATCGATGGCTCAAGTGGGCTACAGGGGCTGGTGTCCGACAAGCATATTACTATTGCAGGTAAGTTTTTTTTCTACAAGGATCAAACACTCCAGCTTATTGTGTTCACCGCAGATCAAGCTAGCGTACGTAGTGTCATCAAAGATGTACAGAGCTCGAACTCAGATTATATCATAGGACGGGACGTTCAATGAGGCATGCCTGAAGCTAGCAGCCCTTCATAGCCAAGCCGTTGACTACCCAAAGAACGGATGGAAGGTCAACGTTGAAGACATTCCTCGCAACCTCATCCCCTACAAACCTGATTGGCATGCAGCAGAGGTGGAATCTCCCCGACCGACAGATTATTATGAATCCGACCGGGCCTTGGGTCACCTATATCGTAACATCAAACTCGACGATATTCCCACTTATATTCCTCAGAAGCTACAAAAGCCGCTGAGTGATCTTATCTCCGTTACACTTCGTCCTTTAGTCGAACGACAGCTGAAGCGTCGTGAAAGACCTTCGAAACTTAACGTCTCAATGAACAATATATACTCGATATACGTCGACGAACTCATCTACGTTGCAACCTGTCACACACTCTCACGGGTACCCGGTGCGCGCCTGCGCGAGGAGGAAATCATCGTCGGAACTATCCTTGACAAGTGCTCACAGAAGCGCTTCAAAAATGATCGGACATATGCAATGAGAGAATGCATTTCGGTCCTCATTCGTGATATTCGAGGCAGAATGCTACCGGAGAGTATGGCGGACGCGTCGCCCGACGAAGTGCGGGATGGCTTAGAGAACGGGTGGTCTGCTTGGGCGCTGAGTCAGGAGAAGTACAAAGCGAGTCACGAGGAGGGAAAACAGGCTTATGAGGCAGGAACACAGGCTTATGGCACGCAAAGTTTTGGTTTGGTTGCGTTGGGAATTGTGCTGGACTGTCTGGAGGAGTTGGGGGAACTGCCCTTAACACAGGCTTAGGATACCAAATATTGTACAATGTATAGGCTCGGTTCGTACTTGGAGGAGTACTAGGAAAAATTGGCACGGTTATTAGATCACATGATCTTTGATCTTTGCCACAGACGCGTCCGCCGAGGCCGTGTCTGTGATCAAGAAACTATCCTAAACCATCCAAGTTGTTCACTCACTGCCACTACTATAGCTATCATTGTCATTCAGCCCCCGCTATCACAATACTAGAGCGGTCAACGGTAAGAAGGCGTAACAGTGAGACACTGCGTTGGCACTAAACCGTCTGTCGTGGTATAAGCATAGGTCGGGATTATCTTTGCACCAAGCCTGTTTATCGCGTCCATTATTAGTGAAAGGATAAACTCTATAACTCACAGGTATGACTTGAGGTACCATTTGGGCTCTTGATTCTTTCATCGCTTTGTCGCAGTAGACAAACAGCACTTGGTTTATCGTTATTTCTGCGTGCCATGACAGTCTACTGAACTTTGCCAAGAAGGATGCCAACTTTGCCAAGTAACAAAAAGAGTAACAGTCCTCATTCGTTGGAAGCTAGGATGAGAACCACGTTCGCGAGTGCTCGGACAGAGTGCGCCCACCTCGTCGAGGAAGTTGAAGTTCATATGTAAGTTGCTCAGCATTCTTCTACACGATGAACAATACCTCCTTTGCGTTCAAAAGCAATTCGGCGCAGACCACCCTGGCCCGTATAAAAGAGCAGCACGAAGCAAATCGCGCCGACTTGTCAGCGCAACTTCAGGCCAATGAAGTAAGCTTCATAGAGAACGGCCGAAGCATCCTCTTTCGTTGACTAGTCTTCAAGGAGAAGATCCAGGCGTTGTGTGCAGAGTATCCTCAGTTGCTCGATGACCTCGTTCCCCAGCGCATACAAAATGTAGATACGATGAAGGCTATGGGTGAGTCTTCCTAGCGTATCTAAAGCGCATATATCCAGGATGATCTTGCACACAGCCCATGCATCGGACGTGGAAATGCGTAAATCACGAAAGAGGCTGATGGAGAAGGCAAAGACACGTCTCGATGACGCACGAGAAAGGCACAAGGTCTGAGACTGATGCCCTTCTCTCAAACGCAACAGAGCTTAACGCGACACCCACCCACAGCTCGCTATGGATGCCTCCGAACTCGTGAAGCGTTACAAGGCACTTGTCCTTACGCTGTAAACGTGTTTATCCAGCGCTTTTCACTTAGGTTTTCAGTTTGTGTTCCTTCCCTCTCTGTAATTCGTAGATGTTCGTATCGCCGCCTTGTATCAATAAATCAAATTATAATTATCTGGTCTTTTGGTCCGTCGACCTATTTCTAAAACCGGTCACTGGGCTCCATGATTTTTTGAGCTTGAGACATTGATGACTAGATTAAATCTCACCAATTCACTGGCGGAACGTTGGAGATGATCGTGCTTGGGGGGTGGTTGCGATATCTCGGGCCGAAGATTCAGATATTCGGACATGAACACGCGTAATATCATGTTCCATCGGCGCATGGTCAATACATCAAGTGCCGATGCATCATCCTAGAGAATGTGAGATCAATAGCAATGACAAGCGCATGAAAATGATAACGAACGCGAAGGGTGTGCCAGACACGCGGGAATGGATATGCGATGATATGAAGAATGTTGACACCTTTCTGTAGAAAGGGTACGTGATCATCTCCGATATACCCGTAATTATATTGGTTCCCAGAACCCGTTCGAGGCAAGAAGAAGCTGCGAAAGTTCGTAGACGTTTCTGCTTCATCAAGAGCACCAACATCCTTGAGCCGAGTTTCTGCGGAAACCATGGCATCAAATAACCAAGCTGTATCGATAAAATAGGACCTTATTGTTGGGTTCGGGGCGCCGAGGAGGTCGAGGAGGATGATGTGTTCGATGGTCGATAACTCCGTCAAACTTGCATGCCCAAGCAACCGTCGTTTAGAATTAGGCGCTATATAAGTTGTTGACCATTTGCCTGCGAGATGTCTAAACGAAAGTACACCATTGGTTTAGTTCTGATATGCTATCCTCAAGAGAATTGTTGACCTAGCTCCATATACAGAGTCTGTGTCAGTCCAATCTTTGAAGGCTTCCTCGCCGTCAAAGAAAACGAGTTGGAGGGTCGTGTCTGCCACATCTTCATCATCATCATATCCCTCCTCGAGACGTTGTTTGCGCTGATCAAGAAAGGGGTTCAAAGTCTCTGCTAGGTCGAGCATCATTGCACATGGTGCTGCGGAATCTGTCGCACCCACAAACTGATGGGCTTAGCATACCATTTCCTGTGTGCATAATTGAAGACTCTGCTATGTACCTGATTATCTGGGTAGTTGGGGAAGAATTTGCTGTCATAGTGCGCAGACAATATGACACGGCGTGAGGCGGTTGGATCTTTCGTCGCAATTATGTTGGTGAATGACTGGATACCATACGGAGTGTTGTCTGCAAAGGTGTCCTCTTCGACGTGCCAATCCAAAGCCTTCAAGGTGGACACGATATATTCACGAACGAGGGTTATGTTTTCACTACCCACTGTTACACTCGTTTCAGTTAACTTGGAAGGTAGAATAGACACATACCAGCGCGCGGTATGAGGATCTTCGAAAGATGAGAAGTGGGATTGTTGGTGTCTACATTTGCGACTGGGTCCGTTGCGGTCGCAAGAGCCAAAATTTGTTCTGAGGTTAACTGGATGAAATCACGTTGCCCGAGCGTCGAGCCCTGTATCGTTAATGTAGGCCATAATGCAAACAACAATAGGAGCAAGCTCAGAAATGAAGACTGGCAACGTGGCCGAAGTTCCATTGACTGAAAGATGCGAGCCTAACGGTGAACGGTTGAGCCAGAAAGACCACTGAGATAGATCGGCGTGGTCCGTGGAACGCGAAGTTCCGCGCTGGCTACTTTCCCCTTCGCGCCAATGGCAATCTTTAGCCTATGGGTAGGTTCAACCCTTTCGTCGAGTAATTACCCGAACAATTACTCAAGGCAAGGTGTAAAAGGTCATTAACAAAGCCGGTGGATTGGTCTACCAGCGCAATTTCGCAGGTTGTTCAGAACGTTTATGGGTTCAGCCTTGTCCATGACTGAGTCCTTCTCAGATGGCCTCGCTCAGCTCACATCAAACGAGTACTTAGTCCTCGCTGGTACTCTGCACGGAATTCACGCTATTACAAGTCGCTTATCCCCTACTGGCTCAAGCTCAGGTGCACAGGTTATTGAAGGGGAGACATTTAAGATGACCATCTTGTTGACCGCGACAGGTGCTTGGTCTGACGCACATCACAGCTAACCCCCTTACATTGATATCTTACAGGAACCAAATTCGTTCTTCTCACATCCTTGGCAGAGGCAACAGCGGATTTGGTTCTTCAAAGAGTGTACGAGGCCTATGCAGACGCTGTCATGAAGAACCCATTCCACACTCCGGAGATGCCAGTTCGTAGCGAGGGGTTTGACACACGAATTACAAGCCTCATTGGCACGGGACAACCATAATATCATAAAACTTCGTATCAAACGTAAGTTCTACATATGTTTTTGATGTTGCAAGTCTGACTCGTGGCTTGGTAATAGTATTGTCTTTGATATCGTCTTTGTAATATTGTCGACTCGAACCACTGAAAAAATTCAGACTTTACTGCCCTTCAAAGCTTCATTGACGCATCACTGAGATATTGTCCTCGACCATTCAATTGCAAGATTCGATAATGTTACACTTACAGCACTAGAGCTAGTGGATCTGTTCTCAATTCGGGTCATGAGTCACGTGATTATCTCACATGCGATACAAATACGCGTCGCGCGTCTTGCGACTCTTGCCAGTTTCATCTCCTTCGGTCTCCCGTCATCCAAGTAAAAACCAACGACTACTTCTTTAAGGCTCTGAGACACTTAGACGTATTTGAACAGCCATGCAGATGCAACGCACAACGGCCAATGTAGAAACCCAGGTATTGATCCACGAGTTGTCGTCAGCTTGGACTTGATTGTTCCTCAGACAATAAGCAACAAGCAGAGTTTAGAATGTGTACACACGCTAATAAAAGCTGGATTTGGTTGTATAGCATATTTGAGGTGCGTTTACTATAGCTTTCCGATTCTCATCTCACCTGTTAATTTCAGGGGTCTTCTACCCGCCGAGAACTTCGGTGAATGTGAGTATAGTTTACGAACAGTGGGTAATGTACACTAACCAAAAAACGTAGATCGACTTTCGTCTCAAAACAATGGACGAGCCTCTTCTTCCTCTGGTTCTTTCTCTTCAGACGGAACTACCGGACTGAACATCAGCGGTTTCAAGTTTATGACCCTCAACCGAGGTTTCACTAATGAAGGGGATCGTATAATTGACTACCTGGTGCGCATATATCCATCCATTCTCCATGACAGACGCGCATATATCCATGTTTCTCAGGAGAACGGCATATTTGAAGCCATAGACAAGCAATACCTCCGGAAAGTTATATTCGGCATCTACTTGGTGAGATTAGATATACTTAGATACTCTCTTTTCTGATGTTTAGCGTAGGACAGCAAAGATCCCAATAAGTTTGTCAATTTTAGCCTTCAATCATTGCTAGGTTCTCTGACAGGCTACTCGCGCAGCATTGTGGAGGCTTACACCTTCAATTTTCAGGTAAGTGTTCGGGGCTTTGATATATAGATGTACTAAATGGATGAGGGACGCAAAGTACCACAAGCTGCCTGGAAGCCACACCGCCATACCGATCATGACTCTTGGAGATCAATTGTCGAAGATGTCTCTTGCGCGCCCAGATCCTGTTTCTGACGCTCTCAAGAAAGGGAAGCTGCCAACTCTTGGGGAGGTTAAAAGGAGTGTTAAGGTGCACTAATACTTACTTATTCAGAACCATTTCGTTCTCAAGCGCTTTGTTTCAGGCAATGATCAAGTCGCTTATAACTACTATCAATCAGATGGAAAGCCTTCCAAGTGCGTGCCGATGTCTTTTTGGTTGAGTTCGATGGTAACTCTATGGCTCAGAAAACCGTTACGGAAATTTCAAGTTATTCTTCAACGAAGATGCCCCAGATGACTATCAGCCCCCTCATTTCCAGGCGGCAGATGCCGAAGCTAACAAATGGTTTTTTACCACCCATGTGGCGAATGAAGTGCCAGAACGAACGAGTATCGGCCAAGTGAACGCAGGATGGCATGGGTAAGCACCAAGAATTTTAATACATCAACTTGGGTCCATCTTCTCTATTCAGCCTCGACATGAAAGTGGTCTCAGTATCATCGTATCTTCCTTCTATATCAGAAGACAACAATGCGCCATTCGCAGGTATCACGTCTCACACAGCCCCGAGGTTGACTCCAGTTGAAGAGGCAAGAATCAGAGTAGAGGACGCACAGTTGCAGAAGAAAGATGCGTTGGAACGCAACATCGTCTGGAGCGCAGACGAAGACGAGGATGCCGAAGGTGAAATGGTAATCGACGAAGGCATTGTTTTGTGCAGGTTCGGTGGTGATGTAGTCATGACCCCCGTCGGTATACGCAACGAAGATGGAGGGGTTCAACCATTCCCTCAAGTCAATGATACTTCGTCGCGCGCTCATGTCCAGTATGGCGGTATATCGGAGTCGACCCCGATATGCGTCGGAGACTTGGTCCGTCACTCATCTGTTCCATCTCTTACCTCACTGATGCTCGCGTTAGAACATTAAAAAGGCCGCTCATGACATTGAGGAAACACAGCAGATCCCAGCTACTCAGGAGATTGTTATGGGGTCGCCGATACTCGCTCCTTCACCGAACAAGGCCCCATCCTTGCCTCCTTCTGATGTTGCCTTTTCCGCTTCGGCTATTTCAACTCAAGAGGTTGATACTCAGTACCTCCAGGATCTACTTGGAATGAGGAATGGTGTGTCGACTGCACCTGATTTAGAGATGTTAGGTACGACGTCGATCTGACGTATTGCATCGCACTAAACTAATTCTTTACAGATATGGAGACGCAGGTCCTGGAAGCGTCTGGACCATCCTGCAATCTAGGTACCACTGGTCCGCAGATCCCTCGTAACAACCGTTCCAAGGGCTCCAAGCAGTTGATAGATGAAGGCCAACTTGGCTGTGACTGTGGGATATCGGTGCGTACGCAGCGAAATGGAAAGAAACACAAGTGATTTCGCCCTTCTAGAAGATTGACGATGCTTCTCTACTGTGTGAAGGTGGTTGCAACCGTTGGTTTCACGTTTGGTACGCATTTTCGTCTCTCCCACAAAGCAAGCCCTCTGACAAAGGTTGGCTAGGTGCATGGGGTGCGCAATCATCTCCTTTCTGAATACGTGATATTTCGTTAAATGCGACGTAGATATCACGGTGCACAAGACAAGCGTCTCCCTGCTGAATTTATTTGCTTTGATTGCCGTCTCCGCGGCTCCCACGAGTGGGACATTATCGCGGGGAAGATTCATGATGATATCATTGCCCGATACAAAGACCTAGCCCTTTTCAGGTACAAGTGGCTTGTCCCTTGCGTCAACTTACTTACTTTTTTTCAGGAGGGCTATTAAAATTTATGAAGTGTATCAGCCATCTTCGGCGTCGCTATTCAGGGTGCACACTGGTCAGTTCAATTTTGATCTTATCCCTCATGGTTTCAATTTCATACATCGTCGAAGGGTGCGACACTGCACTGGTTGGTCAGCTTCTGACGAGGCTAGAAGAGGAAGGTAGGTGTATGATCAGTATACGCCAGTCTTCTCGATGCAAATGCCTTTCCAGGCTTTATTGCGGTTGAAAGTATCGTCTCTGATGAGTTGGGTACTGGTGTTACCCGCTCCCATGCGAAAAAGGGCAAGAAAGGCGTTAAATCCAAAAAGCAGAAGGAGCTTCAAAAAACCAAATATGTCTTCCTCACCAAGGCGAAACGATCCAAGGCTTATGCAGATTACTTCAACCCACTCACCGAGGTCGAGAATCGCCTTATGGGCCTATCTGATACGGTCAGAGCTATCAATCATTACGTGTTACGTTGCTAACGCAGGATAACGCTGCTAGGCGCGACGTAAATCTAAAGCAGGACACACCTTAGTGGCGTAAGATCATCATTGTCTCGTGCAACCTGATTGATCATATGTTGATACCCACACATAGTTCGACTGAAATTACAGATTCCAAGTTACATCCTGAGGTTACGGCACAGGCGGGTTCTTCTGATGACGAATCTCAAACCCAAGAAGCGACTCAAAACGTCCTCACACTAGCGGTTGCCCATCAAGCCGAAAAGCGCAAAGCTGGAGCGGATTTAGTGCATCGCGGGAAACGGGTCAAAATATCAATCGGTTCAGGTGTTGATCTTTGCGACTGAAACTTCCCTTGAAGACGTTGTGCTGTATTGTGGTCAGTCCTTGCTTCAAGGAAAAACTGTTACAAAATTCTATATGTCGGTGTGCTGTTCCGAGCTAGTCTTGCTGTGTACTCCCTCCGCTCGCTGGGAATTCTAGGATCATTCGATCAAATTTGTCCGCATTCATTGGTTTCCCGTGCGAGTTTCGCAAGTTGCTAACAGCAGCGCAACGTTATTTTTTGATTTCAGCGTCGAAAGAGAACGTGGTAGGTCAAACAATTCTCACATCTATCCCGTCGTGTCTCCGGCATCCAGACCGTTTAAAGGCGTCCGGCAAGTTCAGACAGCCACAAAATTTTCAGCGGTTGTCCGACAAAGTTAAGTTTCGCTGGTCCAAAGCAAGTATAACTTTTTGATGCCAAGTCAGTCAGATATAGTTTCAGGGTGAATATGCGGTAGCCTTGAAGTCCAGACGCCGCAGGTTACGCCTCTGCCTGGATCTTCGATCTATTCGCGCATGCCACGGTGAACGGGTCGCTTCACATCAGCGAATGATCTTCCCCTTCCTATCTCGTTCACGACACCCTAGTTTGCTGTTACGTTGAACTCACGGTTGCCCATCTAGTGTTACAGTGAGGTAATACCGTCTCGGGGAAACTTTCAATTCTGCTGCACCTCCCATGGGTTGAAGATATAAATTCGACAATTTGATTTTGCTACGAACTTGTCAGACCACGACAAGTGCTGCGAATCTAACATTTTACCTCGGCATGCAAGTCCCATGCCATGTGGTAGTACTATGTATGCTAGTGAGTCTAATCTCATATTTGGCCCACTGCCAACTGGGCGTCTGTGTGGATAAATCAATAAGGCCTGCCCTAAACTTTATAAATGATAAATAATTCGAAATTTGCTAGCACCCTCTTTTTCTATCCCCTCACGATTTGGCAATTCGTCGTACTTCAATTTACAGTCGACGGTCTGCATCGAGAGGCCCTCGCAGGAGATGAAATAATGGTGCATGGCATAGTTTACACCTCCGTATCTCCCTGCTGTCGATTTTACGACTGTTGGGTTCGTTAGCGTGGTGCACATTCAATAGTTATCAATGTTATAATTGCGAACATGGCAATGGTTTCTTCTGTTCACAATTATGGGTCTAGCCTGGTTCTATCAGTGCTGTGCGCACTGCGCAGCGCTCGGCTTAGTTACATGCGATGATACGATCCAATCTGTTTTGCTATGATTGATGTGAAGGAAATACCAAGAAATAGAACTTACGATACCGTGACCGTGGTAGATTTCGACTGTTCTGAATTTCTGACCCTTCATTTCATTGACGCGATCGCCCGCTTTTCCTCGACTAATCTTATCCCTCAACTGTGGCCTCTCGTCCACCCCTACAGTATCTGATTCTACGCGGCTGCGAAAGGAGCTCGTCCGATGCCTTACAAGCTATCAGCCACACTATCAGCTCATTCGTCAGATGTAGGTTCCTCCAATCCATTAGTTCTCGCGGGGGGAATTCATCTGATCGTAACTTCCATAGGTTCGTGCAGTAGCTTCGCCAACAGAAAGTATCATCCTTTCAGCATCGCGTGACTCCACCGCGATCTCCTGGAAACGACCATCGCCAACTGTCCCCTTCATTCCTTCATCTATTCTGCGAGCTGGGTCAAAATTCGTCAATGCTGTACAATATCTCTCTCCGTCGCCTGAAGCGCCGCAAGGTAGGTCTGCCAGTGGTTAGCGTCATCTCATGTAGCATTGACCCAAGGCAGGATACGCTGTTGTTGGGGGACAGGATACCGTCGTCAATATTTTTGCCCTAGGTCCAGCACAGAAAGAGGATCCTGAATATTCGCTGGTGGGACACACCGATAATGTCTGTGCTCTTGGTATCAGCCAATCTGGCACCATCATCTCTGGCTCATGGGACAAGTGAGAATCTTCCATTGCTCAGCAAGTGTACTGTTCTAACATTGAATACCACAGAACCGCCAAAGTCTGGAAACAATTCCAGCTAGCGTATGATTTGAAGGGGCATCAGCAAGCAGTTTGGGGAGTTATTGCCATTGACGACGAACAATTCTTGACCGGTGCGTGACACCACTCACTGTTTGATACGCCAGTGACGGATCCTTCTTCGATCAGCTTCGGCGGATAAAACCATCAAATACTGGGTTCAACACAAGATGATGCGGACTTATGAGGGGCATAAGGACGCGGTTCGTGGCTTGACCCTAATACCTGACATAGGCTTTGCCTCATGTTCCAACGATAGGTAATTTATTCTCGCTATTTTTGGACGAAGTAGGGTGGCTGATTAGGACTAGTGAGATCAGGGTGTGGACGATGCAGGGCGATGTGGTTCATACGCTATCTGGACACACCTCGTTTGTGTACAGTCTGTCCGTTCTTCCTAATGGAGGAATAGTATCGGGCGGTGAAGATCGTTCTGTGAGGGTGTGGCGAGGTGTGTCATTGATCTCCGTCCAACCCCATGGCATTCACTCACAAACATCAGACGGTGAATGTGTACAAATGATCATCCATCCTGCGATATCTGTTTGGGCTGTATCCACGATGCCCAATGGAGATATTGTCAGTGGCTGTAGCGACGGTATCGTTCGAGTGTTCAGCGAATCTGAAGATCGTTGGGCCAGCGCGGCGGAGCTGAAGGCATTCGAAGATCATATCGCAAGCCAGACTATTTCGTCGCAGCAAGTGGGTGACGTCAAGAAAACCGATCTTCCTGGTCCAGACGCATTGCTTCATCCAGGTTGGTGATCACTATTCACAGATTTTGTGAGGCTGAATTGAAATTGCACAGGTAAGAAACCTGGAGAAGTGAAAATGATAAGAAACGGTGACCTTGTTGAGGCGCATCAGGTGAGCACTCATGAATCAGCAAGATAATCATCTAAGCCAGTGCAGTGGGATAATGCAACGTCAAACTGGCAGAAGGTCGGCGATGTCGTGGACGCCGTCGGCTCTGGAAGGAAGCAGCTTTTCGATGGCAAGGAGTATGACTACGTGTTTGACGTCGATGTGCAGGAAGGCGCACCACCATTGAAACTCCCATTCAATGTGTCCGGCAAGTATTTCATACTCGTGCTTTGGACATAAATTTGATGTTTTTCTTCATCACAGAGAATCCATATGCGGCTGCTCAACGCTTTCTGGAACAGAATGATCTGTCATTGAACTACATCGACGAAGTTGTCAAGTTCATAGAGAAGAATATTGCGGGTGTCAATTTAGGCGCCAGCAATGAATACGTTGACCCGTACACCGGTAAGCATCGATGTTCAGTAGTACATCATGTACTAGATTGCCATCAGGAGCATCAAGATATCAGACTGCCGCTACCTCAGCAGCGCCAGCCCCGTCCACGGCTTATATGGATCCTTTTACGGGTGCAGCTCGGTACAGTGGCGCCCCTGTCCCTACACCCCCAGTTCCTTCGGTGTCACCTTCAGCTCCGAAAATCATACCCTATGTAAGATTTTTCTAGATAGCGATAGTTAAGCTCAATGCTGATTTCCGCAGCCCAAGTTTGTCTCTTTCAAACAAGCTAATGTATCAGCAATGCAAACCAAGTTGTACCAATTTGACGAAGCACTACGCAACGAAATTGTACGCACGCGATTGAGCTGCATTGAGCAACCTTCTGAACCCAGACATGCCAGTCCACTGCAACCCTTGCAATGTACCCCGAAGAGTTGGAGATCGTTGAGGAAGCTTTCACTTATCTTTCTCAAGTCACTTCGACACCTTCTCAAGTGTCTCTTCCACCCCTCGGTGGCACCCACGCAGAAGCTATCATACAGATTCTAGAGCGATGGCCGGCGTCCCAGCGATTCCCTAGTAAGCATTCCATCGTGCTAATTTCATCACTTTACTGACCGCTCTTAAGTGATGGATCTAAGCAGATTGGTAGCTGCATATTGCGCAGATGCTTCTGCAGTCCCCGGTGGACGAGAACGATTTCTCGCATCCCTATTCAAGGCATCTGATTGGACTGAAGTCCGATCACATGGGAAAGCTATGTCGAAGGCTCAAGAAACCAATATTCTGCTATTATTCCGCACGGTAGCTAATTGTTTCCAAGAGGGAACTCCTGTGAACGAAGGGCAGTGGGTCGCACAGGTAGGTGACTTCATTTTTCGGTTAAAGTAGTAGTTCTCACGGGAAGCAGGTTTTCGAAGCGCTCAGTCATGCACCTTACGCACTTCTGACGAAGGTTCAGCGCGTAGCTTTGGCGACCATCCTTTTCAAGTATGACTTCACTTGACCATATCAGGAAAAATGACTAAATGTCGAAACAGTTTCTCTTGTGCCTACTTGACAACATCCGTCGCTAGAGATGTGGTGAACCAACATACTGGATTAGCCCTTCAGGTACTCATCAGAAGCATGTTCTTGACCGTCATCAACTAAGCAATTCCTAGTTGCTACGTTCAAATACAGATGATGCAGAGGTTACCTATCGCACCCTGGTTGCATTGGGGAACGTGGTAAGCGTCCTTCCATTCCGTACCAAGACTGTTTGCTCATCAATCTAGATCTATGCTGGGAATACGCGCGGCATTTCGTTAGATTCTGCCCAATCTGCGGAATTGCAAACAGTAATGTCAGCTCTCCCAGCATTCCCTGACGATAGAATCAGGAATGTGGTCGACGAAATCAGGACACTGCTATGATGAACTCACTTTCCTTGGGTATACTTGATGGACACATTACCTGCAGATACACCTCCTCGCGTGACTCAGGAGTCTAGACATCTTGGCATGGAATGGATAACTGGTTTTGGGGCGAGTTGTGGAGGTTTATGGACTAAATACATGGTGTCCAGTGCACTTTTGCCTTCGTTGTACAAAGGTAGTCAACTAATCAGCATTGAATCAGCACTTACAAAGTGACCGGACCTAATAATAGCCTAAGTCCTCAGTCAGTTCTTCATCAGCTCCATGACCATCCTTGCTCGGGTGTTTGTTGTGAGACACGGAGAGACGGACTCAAATCGCAACAGAATCATTCAGGGTCAACTGGATACACAGCTCAATGCCACTGGTCTTGCACAAGCTGCGGTGACTGCGGAGGCGCTCAAATCTGTTTCCTTCGACAAAGCTTTTACGAGTGATCTTCAGCGAGCTTCTAAGGTGAGACCAAACGTCTGAAACCATATATAACATTTACAGCGTTCGATAACACTCGGAAACTCATATGTCGTAGACTGCCGAAAGGATTCTCCAGTACCACACTGGCATCGAGTTAGTCAAAGACAGCGCGTTGCGAGAAAGGGTGAGAGTCGAATTTAACCTCGAACTGTTGAAAACTTGTTCATCTTTGGACAGTTTATGGGCGAGATGCAAGGCAAGAAGGGGCCAGTCGACATGAAAGAAATAAGTGACCTGTCCTCGATAGAGACAGACGAAGCTTTTGCTCAACGTTGCATCGCTTGGTATAACCGGGTGTTAATACCGTACATCTCCGTCACCAAACCCGACGTCTCAGGGGGCCAATGTCGGAACATACTCGTTCTATCGCACGGGGCGTTTATAGCTACGCTCTTTCGCATCATGATCTACAGCAACCATGTTACGTGTCCCGCAGAGTTGAAGATTGGAAGCCTTCCTACATTGGGCAATACCAGTATATCTGTCGTAGAATACAGGATAGTTTCGAGAGGGAAGCGTAGAGAGGTGGAAGCTGACATATTGAAGTACGGAGATATTTCCCACTTGCGTGGACTGCATGTGATGGAAGAAAACGCTGATGTATTAGTCGATCAATCATAACTGCCAATTACTACCACCGCGCACATTGTCAGCGACAATAACATCGAGGGAGAAACGATCGAAAGAGAAAGGAAGATCCCGCTATTAAGACAAACTAGTCGCAAGATCAGCAGTAGAACGAACAGAAATTTAGTGCACACACCTAGTAATTCCACGTCATGTCTTTCTCCGCTGCTTGTTCTCTTTCTCGCCTTAATTTTTGGCGTATGCGAATGTGAGAATCATGGTGCCCAGAAGCTCTATCTCTGTGCAAGATATGTTCAAGCTCGTGATCAGTGTGGTCGTCAGTGTCAGTGCTGGTTGTCGTCGCAATAATTCTGGTTGGACTTCACCAGATTGATATCAAGAAAGCCATATCGGAGGCGTCTTCCGGGAAGACCTTAGCCCTACCGGTGATATTGAGCAACACGATTGTCAGGTCCGCTTTTAAGATAGAATTGATACAATGCTAGAGATTTGCGCTGAGTAGACAACAAAGGGTATGCGCAGCATTGCATATTCTCGTCCCAAGGTGCCAGCTATATGTGCGGTCATCAGGTCCAGTGATCTGGAAAGATGTCAACATAACGCCAAGCCAAGATGAGACTGACCCAAGACTGACCTACATATAATGCCACGGGGTGTCACCCAAGGCGGTTGCACTCAAGCCATGACAGCAAGACGAGGTCCCGAATAAAACTTCACATCGTTCAACGCTTGTCGGCCGATCAGTGAAAGGCCAGCAGGCTCAGTGAATACATATCTGACCATGTGAAGTCAGTCAGGTCATTAGATGGACGTGATGATTTCAACATCTCCGGCTCATCCACAGTTGTTCCTGTGGAGTCTTTCAAGTCAGGCTTCCCCAGTGCGATACAAAAAAAAATTGTTCCCCGCGTAGTGCTGTTGGCAGAACGTTGCCATTCTGCCAAGTGACTACTGCCGCCGTGTCGGCAATTGGGTCATGAGGCTCATGACAAGTCACTTCACTCCCACAGAAGCGTCCGATGTCCTATGTGCCGATCCCGACGGCTCGCTTCCCACTGCGTGGGGTATGCTGGGGGTCGACGACTAATATCAAACTCTATATCTTCAACCTCTTGAGCGTTGCTTGGGCAACAGAATATTGTATCAGGCTATCCGAACGCTTATTGTATCAATCTGATTCTGGAGTAACAAGGCATGCGAGTTTGAAACACTTCAACACCTCGGGGTAACTGCAGTGTCGAATCTCGATGGTACACTGGTGAGCCAGAGGGTTGCAAAATAAGATGATTGCACACCACCGACTGTCCGGGTCTACCGCCGACATGATCTTGGGTACATCGCTTCAAACATGACGATTCTCCACTCGAAATATATCTAACTTTCACCCAATGTAGCTATGGGATGCTCATGAACGACTCGACCAGGAGGAGCGCAAACATCTTACTCACTGCGAATCGATGTATTCGAAGCTGTTTGTTGCCTTGCTCTGGACGGTCAAAGACATATCAGGGCTAGCCCCCGCCTCGAAGGATTTAGCAAGGATTTAGACACTTTGGGGCAGCATCGCAAGTCCGGCAAACTCGGAGTCCAAGTGGATTTGAATTTTAAACACCGCTTCGAGCGATTTGAGATGCCGCCAAATGACGACAGACTGCATCACGTTGGTGTGTCCCACTCTCGCATCCTTACCATCATCACCTCACCTCATTGCCGGGGCTCAGCGCTCAGCCTGTGGCCCTATCATCATCGTGATTTGTCACGTTTTCTTTGTCTGCACCTTTGGCAAGCACATTATGGTTCTGACTTGATCTGCATTACTTGCGCAACTGTTTACACGTTCATGAAATGAAGGGGGTTGGTAGGTGAGGATACTTACAACGGTAGCACTAGGGGGTGTCAATCTACAAATCCAAATTATATTACCGAGACTAGTGGTGTGGAGAGGGCGGTCTACATCGACGACTTTACCAACGTACGTGTGTCTACTCCGTAGTCTACCTTGACCAACAGTTCATCTCGTTTACCTATTAGGTCATTCACATCACTAAATCCACACAAACCCATCGTAACGTGTAAGTCACAGATGCTTTGCATCAAAATTTGCTCTACCCCCGCTTGGCCGGCTATCGCAAGTCCATAAACAATAGGTCGGGCGACTAAACAAAAGTATAAGATGGGAACAAAAAGGACGGTAGATGACACACTTAAAACACCCTGTGCTCCGATTGCAAGCGCCTTGATTATGTCGCTTCCTGTTCGAATTCCAGAATCGAATAGGACAGTCAGTTTACCCGATTTTTGCGCGTCAAGAACTTTCTGTGAGCGCATGATCATGTCGAGCGCATCCAATGAGGCTATTGCGCCATCTATCTGACGACCCCCTAAACATCTCAATTCAACACAGTGGCGAACAAACAGACAATGTCGACAGTGATACGTACCGTGATTAGAGACGATAATCCCGTGGATGCCTATGTCGATCGCCTTCTCCGCATCCTGGTGATGTTTATGTCAGCAATAGCTCGTAACAACTCTGGATGAGCGCACCTTGACGGCTTGTATTCCCTTGAGCAAGATGGGGCCGTCCCAGTTGTCCTTGACGAATTGAAGGTCGTCCCATGTTCTGAAGATCCCAAATCCTGTCTCGACAAGCCACTGGCTCGCAAGGAACATCGATTGTTTCGTTTCCTCGTCACCTGCCGCGGCTTTCTTTCTGATCTCTTCCTGATCGAATGGAAATTTTGGACGCTCATGTCGAGCAACGAGCCCATAGCGTTTCATAAACACCGGGTCCGCCATACCCTGTTGGACGCCGAACCCATGTCCCGCTGGGCTGTATCCGATGCGATGGTCATGTGATCGCCATCCGACAATCATTGTGTCTACCGTGATAACGAGAGCAGTATACCCATTTTCCTTCGCACGTTTGAGGACGGACAATGCCACATCGGGAGAACGAGGCCTATAATATAATCAGGTTTCGCTATATGACACGAGACGGCACTCACCAGTAAAACTGATACCATCGTTGTCCATTCAGCCCATTGGCTTCCGCTACATCCTCAAGGGATCGCGACGCAGAAGAACTTAAAATCATCGGTACACCGACTGCCGCAGCTGCACGAGCTGTCGCAAGCTCTCCGTCAGCATGCACCAGACCTTGTTTGCCGACTGGTCCTACAAATATTGGTGAAGAGACTTTCATACCCAAAATTGTCGTCTGACAGAAGGGATTAGGAAGTCCTTGTTAACCATCATGTCCAACGCTTGCCTCAACATTGCGCAATGTAGCATTGTTCAACATGCGCGGGACGATCTTCCACCTTTCAAATGCCTTCCTGTTAGCATCATCGGTCGAACAGGTACCTGCACTCTTCAACGTATACAGGTATGCAACTGTCAAAACTCGTTCAGGTTCAGTTGTACCATCTGAATGTTGCAGCATACTAGAATTGTCCTTCATAACCTCGCGGGCTTTATCTTCGATTTCCTGGGCATCGACCGTACCGAGCACTGGCCCCTTGCCCGAGCTATAAATCTGCGACAACCAAGAAATCCATTTGTTAGGTGGAGGTTGAGACGCCATAGACATCGTTGGTTCACGACTGTAAGTTCAATCTGCTACTGACGAAGGTTACTGCTGGATAATTCTTTTGCGCAAGCTTCATATACTCCAGTCTGATTGCGTGGCATGTCATTTCCGACGATGACGTTCAAAAGGTCTCAGCGATGCTAACCCTAACAGGCCTTTGGCGTGCACTGTCTCATTACGGATCATGATTCATAGAGGTGTGTGAAATCAACCTTTTTAGACATGCGGATTGGGGTTTGACAGCCAGAAAATGTATAGGTCTGTCTGTCATAGTCTAGTCCTGCCGAATCTGTCGCATCTTTCCGGTCCTGCTGCAACCTATTTGAGCAGTGCGGTGATCACGCGAGCTCGGGGCGACGATACCTTTTGGGGTGCAAGCCCGGGGACTACACTAGGAAGCAGCACAAATGCACGCTAAAGTCAGACTCAAGAACATCTTTGCCGGGCTCAGGCTTGCTGGTGCCCAGAAATGTGGACTATCAGTCCAGCAGATTGCCAGCAGAAGAGATTACTTTGTTGGTAGGGTCGTGATCAGAAGTCTGCTATTCTGCCAACCTGTTTGGTAAAGCTAGTTCTGCCTGGTAGATGGCAAAATTATGTGCATCGTTCCCCACGCCGCCGATGTCGACCGCCTTTTCTCGGATATGGATAGCACTCAGTCTCCGAAGCGCTGCAATCTCTCGGTAGACATTCGAAGTACCGGCAAAGAGTCGTTACCATAGTCATCAGACTCGGCCGCGGTTAATAAAAGCCAATTTGTCGACATCATGTGCACGTGCACCGGTGCTTAAAGGCCTAACCAGGCATCAACGTCGGTGTAGCTGCTGATCTAAAAGTCAAATACGTCACTCACACCTCAAACTCGGAACACCGATGATGATCTTGTAGGTCCTGAATGCACATCACTCGATTAGATCAACGTAGCATTTGTGCTACTGCAACACAAGAAAGAAGTTATGGAAACGAGTGCCGGTTGACGGAAATGAAGTGTTGAGAGGCCAAGTTCATGGTCTTCCACCGAAATCTGTACGAGATCATACCATACACTGTCATACACGTACTTAGCCTTGTAGCGCATTGAAATTTTGTCAAGCGGCAGAAGTTGGGATTCTGTCACCCCTGCCAGTTATGCTGGCACAATTACCTGTAAATAAATCTGCCCCCAGTACTATCTGTCGGACTGTGCCTCATCTATCTTTGTGGCGACAGACTCTGACCAGGCGTGATCCCCCTCACGACGATTTGGGATCAGATGACAATTTGGCATGTCTTTCGATGCACCATGTATAGCTCGTTTACGTCTAAAACCATATATTTGCCAGGTGTACCGTGTACGATGCACCGTGGCGCCTTATTAAAGCACTCACACGGCGCATTGAAAGGGCCGCCACTGTGTGGCAGTGAGCGCACACATACATTCCACTTTGATACGTAACCAAGCTTCAATTTTTGTCTCTGCAAATTCATTCTACCGGTATCCTGATCTGTCAGGTAAAGTCCTGCGGCCTGGTATTGTGATGCGCAATATCATATTTCCTCTCGGATTTGTATTGATCAGTCAGGACTTTCGGGCCCGCACGAGGAGAACCTTCGAGTCAGATAGGCTACGGCCCGACTTCAGAGTATACTCTGCGCCAAATATCATTTTAATAACAAAGAACAAGCCATAACCTCCGGTCACGCAATTTTCAGAGGTATTGTGAATGTTCATTCCAAAAGGAGGCGCGGGCGCACGATATCTGGTATACTTCGCTCATAGAGGGAAATTTGACCAGTTCATTATCGGTCATCCAGCGCACCATGCGAAGAATGACACATAAAAGCAACTAATGTTTATCTTGGTCTACGACTCAATGTTCTCCCCTCTGCTCTTACGTTTGAGGGAGTTGCCACCCAGATTATGATTGTTTCGATAAGAACAGAAAGATTGGTAAGTAACCACCCAATCTCTCCACTTGAAGCTAATCTATGTGTTCTACTAGTGGGGCAAGCAGAAGCAGTGAATCCAAGGCATCATCATAAACTTTCATGAAAAATCTGTCAGCATTAAATGCATGAATAATGGTGCCAACATGGCACTTCCTTGAGAGATAGCGTCCGAGGCTTGGGAGGCCGCGGATATCCTACAAATAATTAAAAGAAACTTACGGAGCTCGAGGAAGTGGTAAAGGAGAAAGAGAATAGGCTCTTGCGCTCACAGTAGGTGTGTGTGTCTTCTCCATAGTTATGTTCAGAAATTGATGGGGACCATCACCATGGTTCTTTGTTCGGCGCGAAGAGTGCTAACCTCCGAGAACCCATAGCGTTCATACTTGGACCCAAGCTCGACTTTTACCCCAATGGGCAAGTCCGTGTGACATCAACCTGCGATCTTCGTGCGTCATTTGTGTGCCAACCTTCGACCAAGCCCAGCAAGAACGGAAAGGAGTAAGGATGCAACTCATAGTAGGCAGTCCGCAAGATCTCCCGCAACTAATGCGATTCTGGGTGAATGAGGAGCTGTGTACCCTCATCCCAAACTAGGCTGCCTGTTGTTCTCATGCCTACCCTTTGATGTTGTAAGACGTACACAGTTCCCGTTGTGGCTATATGAGATCACTTGTCATTTTCAATGCAACCTCTACCAAATCTTCTGCTAATGCAAGCGAGTCGGCATACACAACGGATATTGCAGGATCGTTCGCAATAAGTTTGACGATGCCTGTGAATACTTCGCTGCACACAGTTTTAGTTTTAATGGCCACGTCAGACAGTAGTATGTTCACAATAAAACGGAGGTGTAAAAAACAAAACCACCTTGATGTCGTCGTTATGTCATCCCGGAACAATAGAATAGAAATAGAATAAGAGTATGACAGTAGAAAGGACTAAGGTACACTCGCCCCTGATCTGCGTATCATCATATGCAGGAGAGGTGATGTCCAGCAGTAGATGATATTCCGGATCTCCACTGCTACGGGAACTGAGGTATCGCCAATCATACAAGTCGGAACGAAGGTTGCCTGGAGCGCGGGTCACTGAGCGGCTGAGAGTGTACCGGTTCACAGCCGGCATTCTGAGACATATCAAGGCTTGACTGGAGGCTCAGTGGGGGGAACACCCAATTCTGGGAAGTCATTGGGTCTTGCAATTCTTTTGGGTTCCCAGTCTTGCTCTCCAGCAGCACTTAGTTTCTGATACGTCCACACTAGTAAGATCTTGAGAGACTTGCTGGACGAAAACTCACATAGTATTCCTCCCTAATATCAAACTTTTTCTTTTTGCGATCAAGACCTAGAGCTTGCTCGCTGCTCATCTATGAGAGATTGAGTACATGGTAAGAATCCCCATGATGAAGTCAAACCTGCTTGACTTTCTGGTCCTGTAGGTCATATCGAGTTTGTGTGAAAGTCTGAAGACCAAACGAGGCCCCAATTATGATGAGAAGAAAGGGAACACCGAACAGTGCAGGATTTCGCTTCAACCTTGAATGGAGCGGTGACGGATTGATGGGCTTTGAAGAAAATGGCATATGATGTTCAGCCTTGGTCAATGGTGGTACTAGTAGTAGCCAGGCGTGGACAAGAACTGACTGCCTTTTCGGGATGATTCAGAATTATCCGAAGATATCCGAAAATTATATCATTAATCTCATTTCTTTTCCACATCGCAGCTCTTGCCAACTGGCTGAACCCGTATCACAGAAGCTCCTTTGTCCATGAGCGGTATGTCAGTCTTTTCAGCACCGCCGATCTTTGATTACCGACTCTGTCGCAGTAACCGTCGTTCTTGGTTCGCAATGGGGAGATGAAGGCAAAGGCAAGCTGGTCGATATCCTATCGGCTGACTTCGACGTCTGCGCGCGATGCGCAGGTGGCAATAATGCCGGACACACAATCGTCGTGCCTGTTGGACCGGAGAAGGTGAAGACCACCTTTGCTTTCCATCTTCTCCCAAGCGGTTCGTGATCAGTTCTTATGATCCGTTGTATGTCATTGATCTATCCATTCGGTAGGTCTGGTAAACCCAACATGTGTAGGCCTGATTGGTTCTGGAGTTGTTGTCCATGTGCCTTCCTTTTTTGAAGAGCTCGATGCCTTGGAGAAGCAAGGTCGGGTTCATTATGGTTGAATGTGCTTTAGCGATGACATGGTTACCCAGGCCTGAACTGCTCGAATAGATTATTTCTTTCAGATAGAGCTCATCTCGTGTTCGACTTCCACCAAATTGTAGACGGCTTGAAGGAAGTGGAGCTCGGTGGTTCCAGGTATGAACTTTGATGTGATTCTTACAATTCTTATCAATAACAAACCTGCAGCATCGGAACCACGAAGAAAGGGATAGGCCCGGCTTACTCCGGGAAAGCCTCTCGTTCGGGCCTCCGAGTGCATCACCTTTTTAATCATGATACCTTTGCGGAAAAGTTTCGCAAGATCGTGGAGGGCCGTTTCAAGCGTTATGGCCATTTTGAATATGATACAGAGGGCGAGATTGCGCGCTATAAGGTCGTATCTCATGTTTTCCCCGTTAAATATCATCACTGAACATGACGTAGGTTCTTGCACAGCGACTAAAACCTTTCGTTGTGGATAGCGTAGAGTATATTCATGGCGCGCTGGCTGCGCGTAAAAAGGTCCTCGTTGAAGGTGCAAATGCGCTCATGCTTGACCTGGATTTCGGGACGTATCCCTACGTCACCTCATCATCCACCACAATTGGCGGTGTATGCACTGGTCTTGGCATACCTCCTAAAGCGATTGGACACACCATTGGAGTTATCAAGGCATATACCACTCGGGTTGGAGGAGGACCATTTCCAACTGAGCAGCTTAACGTTGGTCTTCTTGTAACAATACATACTCAGGTATTCACGTATTTTCAGCACATCGGTGTCCACTTCCAAGAAGTTGGAAGGGAGTATGGCACTACCACAGGCCGAAGGAGACGTTGCGGCTGGCTGGATCTCGTCGTCATGAAACACTCAAGCCTCATAAACGGATATGATTCGCTCAACTTGACGAAATTGGATGTCTTGGATGAATTAGAGGACATCAAAATCGGGGTCAAGTACATGATCGACGACAAAGAACTCCAATATTTCCCAGGTGAGTTAACCGTCGGACAAAGCGAAGCATTATTCACAATCCATCAGCCGATCTTGATGTTCTGGCCAAAGTCACAGTGACCTATGTGACTCTTCATGGGTGGAAGACGCAGATAAGCTCGATAACATCGTTTGAGGACCTCCCAGATAACTGCAAGAGTTACGTAGGGTTCATTGAGAATTTCTTGGGTACGCCTATAGAGTGGATAGGTGTCGGACCAGGACGTGAAAGCATGCTGAAGAAGACCGGCAGGATATTAGCGTAGCAAGTTACAGCTGAACAAAGTATTAGACTATAGCGGTTCTCAAAGTCGAACCTTGAAAAAAATCATGGTGAATTCGGATGCTGCCGATACGGCAGGTTTTGAACTCCGACCTGCCCTGCCAGCGTGCTCAACATCGTTGCTGCTGGTGTCGACGCTGCTAAAGCTTTAATCTGATTCTTAATCGCTGTCAGTAGGAATATCCTGGATCATGTCACGATCCAATCAAAGAGGTCGAACCAATACATCTGCTGGTATGGACACCTCAAAGAAGTGTACTATCCATTGGGAGGGGGTCCGTAGTGCTCGTACTGAACGCCTACTTGCCTGGTGCAAGGAAAATGAAGACGCACGCATCAAGCTTTTCTCTGATTCTGTAAAGGATGCCAAGGAGCAAGGTCGGAAGAAGAAGCAGAGTGGTACTTCGAGAGATGTTGTGTATTCACAGGTCACACAAGCTGTATTTTCGAACGACGAGGATCTGGAGGTTCAACGACTCTTCAAGGAGGACCCCAAGGCATTCATAAAACCAGTTTCAACCCGTTTCGGCACATAAGTATCTAGTTCCTGCGTCATCCATCTTCCCACTGGAATCACTGATCAGATGTCTCAGACTGAGGAAAAAATACAACGAATTTAACAAGGACCTCAAACAGTCGGGAGCAGGAAAGACATATGCGGAGCTGCAAGAAGATCCAAAGATCAAGTCTTTGATCGGTAAGTTTCAGCTGCTGTTGATCTGCGCCTGTCTGAACCATGTCTCCGTCAGATACAAAGCTCGAAAAATTTCCCTGGTGGCCTGAGCTTCATGGCTGGTGGCGGACAAATCCAGCCTTCAATCATGCCTTCTCTACTGCGGATGCAGGGCAAGATTTTGCATCTGCTGCATTGGAACATTTCAATATTTCCAAGCACCCACAACCACCGGCTACAGTTGACGACGATGCTCGCACGGATGATGATGGAGACATAGTCAAGGTCGATACTCGCAGTGTGGACGATGGTGCCGTTGTCGATGTGGCAGATGAAATGATAGTCGACCAGCCCCCCCGCATAGAATCACGATCATCAGCATCATCATCGCTTGTACCTTTGGACCGTGGTCCTAGCAACACACCTGACTCATTCTCACTGCCTCCATTGCCACACTCATCAGATATTCAATGATAAAATGATATTGGCATATAAAGAATTATAATATGTAAAACTGCTATAATAAGTCTAATAATGATACATCAAATTGTCAAGCTTTATATTGTAGGATAGACATGGCAGGACTTGTCAAATATGCAAGGATGAGACTTCATAGCTTCGCTTGTCAAAGGAACAAAGATTGTTGATGTAAGATCTAGCATCGTATTTATGACACATTCATGGACCGTGCTCCCTTCGATTATAATGGACGCTTGCCTCGACAGAATTCACAAGTGTCACCATGGTGATAGTGTTACGGTATACTCATTCTCTTCGTTTCTCCTTTGTTACCGGACAATGGTACATGGATACGGCCCTTAACGAGCGACCAATCACTTTTCAGACCCTTACTCATATCATCGCCAAGCTAACCTTCCGTACCAGTAACCATCACTATGTTTAGCCGACTATCTCTTATCAAAGCGGGCTGTCCGCACCATGGTTACTATCTCCTATCTCTTATCTCTTATCACTTACCAAGCGGGCTGTCCGCCTTCTATCTTGATACGCATTTACAAGCTCCGCTTGAACTCTTGCTATATAGATACATAGCATACCACATGTAGTTCTTCACTTTAATCTACTGGGTTTTACCTGGAACAAGTCCTTTAGCAAGGTCTCCAACCTTGCTATCTAAGAACCACCATTCTAAGGAAGTCGCCGATACTTGCCTTAGCCAGAAACCTTTGACCTCTCATTCGAGAGAAGAACCACGTCTGTCTCGCCGAATCTCAGTCCACTCGGACTAAGACAGCTCGACATACCCCAGTCGTAACAAAAGATTAAAGTCCACTTCATAGACGCCGCCACCTGCGACGTCAGCAGACACCACGACTTCGTTAACTCCTTTGATCGGAGCTTTGAATCTAGGCGCGCTACCGCCGATACCACCATTAAATACAATGGCGACCACTACCAAAGAGATAGAAATCAAGATCGGCTCTCCTCCCGAATTCGACAGAGATCGCGATGAATTGCACAGGTTCATGCTGAACTGTAATGCGTACCTAGATATCAACGATAAAATCTACGACAGTGACAAGAAGAAAGTAATCTTCGCACTCTCGTTTATGACCAAGGGCAATGCTGCCGCTTGGAAAGAAGACTTCATGGAGACCGCTCAGAACGCCAAGTTGAAGAATACCGCGGGAAATCTCATCGGGTATGGCACCTGGGATGAATTCAAAGTCGCATTCAAGGAAGCCTTTGGAGCTATAGATCCCGCCGGAACGGCTATGGCTAAAGTACGAGCCCTTGAGATGAAAGGAGATCTCCACACGTATATCTCCAACTACCGCCTCCTAGCCCATAAAGCAGGAATAACCGAGAACGTCACCAAAGTAGAGTTCTTCCGCGAAGGTCTTGACGTAGGACTTCGCAACAACCTCTACCACACGGGAGAAAGTCTAGACGACTTTGAAACCGTCATCGCAACGTGCATCAACCTGGATAACGCCTTCCAGAGGTTGAGAGCCATACAGAAACGAGAGAACCCCGCACACTACCAGCATAAGAAGAAGAAGTACGGAGATCGCCACTTCACCCCCCGCAGAAGCGATGCTATGGAGATAGATCAGCTCTCCGAGTCCGAAGTAAAGAGACACCTCAAAGAAGGACGTTGCTTCAAGTGTCACCAGACGGGCCATCGCGCCAACGATACCACATTCCACCCTAGGGAAGATAAGAAGCAGAAGATGCCTATCCGAAGGAAGGTCGAGAAAGAAGAGAGCAGTGATGATGACGAAGAAATGAACCGACGATTCGTAGAGATGGATTTTTAGGAAAGGAGTCTGCATCGATGTCAGTACCTCCTGTCCCAATACGACTTGTGCAATCACTTGGAAATAAGAAAGAGCTTCGTGTCCCAGCCACGATTATTTCCACCAAGCGTAACAAAACCATCGAAACCTCTATGGTCATCGACTCCGGAGCAAGCGGAACCTTCATCAGCGAGGAATTCTGCAAGCTCCACGGAATCAAGACCCATAAACTCTCGAAACCATTTCCCATTATAA